AAGCCACGGGACCACCTCTCCTCATCACACCACAGAGAGAGGAGAGAGTCGGGCGAATCTTCTCCTGCTTCTACAACTCCCAAATCCTGAGTGCCCTAACCCAGCTCTCCTGATTTCTCTCCCACCTATCTTCTGGCAGCTACCACGGAACTCCCATCTCCTTGCCGCCTCCCCTTCTCTGGCGTCCTGGGGACGTTCGTCATCACCGGATCGCCTTTCCAGCCGCTTCCGAGCTGCACTCCCACTCCCCTCTCTTTCCTCGCACCCCACCAATTCTTCCCAGTGCTCTTCCCTCACTCTCAAGCCTTCAACACACCCTCTTCCTTGAAACCGCCCCTGCCACACGCGCCCCACACCTCTCCCTACAGCACCCTCACCCTCCGAGCTCCTCCTGGGGCCACACGCCCCAGCTGCTGCCCCTCTACCCTCCCCAACCCCGCTGGGCTCCCGCTCGCTGCCCCTTTCTCTCCCCGTCCCTCCTTCGGCTCGCCCTCCACCCACCCCAGTCTTACTCCTGGAAACTCTCCTTTTTCTCTACCTTCCCTTCCTTTAGGCTGCTAGAAATTCGCACTTTTACGAACTTTTCTGGGCTAATTCTAAAACTCTCATTCCCTGCTTACAAGTTAATTTTCTCCCCCTCCCGTCCCCCCCAAAAGATTGCACGTGGGGTTGGGAGTGGGGGGTCAAGGAGGGAAGGGATTGAGAGTTGAGGCTGGGGCTGGCTTCCAGGAATTTGGACGGCAAAGGAGAGAGAAGGTGTTCTTACCTTCACGAACAATTCGACCTGCGGTTGTTCTTCAGCCATGGTTGCGTTGAGGACCAGGAAGTGGCTGTCGCTGGGGGAACTGGGAGGGGCTGGGGCCAAGGAAGGCGGGTCTCACAGTCAGGAATTCTCTCCCCCAGACCTAGGGCTGTTCCCTCAGAGCGATACAAGCCTAGTCAGACCCACTAGCCCCAGACACGGCCTACCTGCCGGCCCAGCGAACCCACACCCGGCTCCTCAAGCTCTGGCCCTAGGCGGCCTGGAGCCTGGAGCCGGGAGCCGCTGACTCACCAACGAGCCCCGCCCTGAACCTGGGGAGGAGAACGGGAGGGGGCGGGATTGAAGGAGTAGGGAGTGGGTCCCGCGGGAAAGTCCTCAGGTCTCCCAGAGGATTTAGATGGGGGTGTTAAGGGGAGGGAGTCCTGGGAACCTCTTTTGTTTCCCCCACCTCTCCTAAACACAAGAGTCTTTTCTGCCTCAGTTTCCCTGCTTCATTAATCAGAGAACAACCCCACTCCACCCTCACATAAGAAACTTGACACTAACAGCTTGGGCAAGCCCATGAAGATCCAGAAATGGGATCTTAGAATAGAATGGTGGTCGTTTAATCCTTCTGTATTCCCTCCTGACTCCAGTCCAAATTCTGGGTTGCTAGGACTGTGGTCTGGAAGAAGAACTTGGAAGTACAAGGCTGGGTCTGGGGATAGGAAGTTATGATAAGTAAAGTTGGGGATGGGAAGGGAGATGACCAGGTCTTGTGCTAGGGAAATAGGAAGCTGAGGCTTCCTTGCCAGGAAAGATCCGTTCCCTATAACTGGTCACTTTGTGCTTCCACTTCTACTCCTCCCATCCCCATCGGGGCCCCTTCCTGTGCCCTTTGCCCTCTTCTCACTGACAGGTTGTCTTGGAGATGGGGCAGAGAGTGGGGTTATCAAGGCTCTAGGATACAGCTGCACTGATCCTGGGGTATGTGGGGGAGGGGGGTGGAGGGGAAGGGGTGGGTAGCTGGTCCTATTAAGCAAAGATCAGACAAAATAGTTTGAGTGGAGTCCTTGGGGACACATACATAAGTAAGTAGGGTAGACAGAGGAAGAGTAGCTCTCTCCCTCCCCAGTAACCCTGATTTTGGAGGTGCTGTCAAACACTTGATGATCTGCTGAAAAATAGCCACAGAATGTCTCCCAAATGACAGAGATATTCTTTTTTTTTTTTTTTTTGAGACAGAGTCTCACTCTGTTGCCCAGGCTAGAGGTGAGGTGCCGGGGCGTCAGCCTAGCTCACAGCAACCTTGAACTCCTGGGCTCGAGCAATCCTCCTGCCTCAGCCTCCCAAGTAGCTCAGGCATGGTGCCACCATGCTCTCTCTAGTAATTTTTCTATTTATGATATTGTTGGCCAATTAGTTCTTTCTTTTTATAGTATGAGACTGGCGTCTCGCTCTGCTTAGGCTGGTTTAATTCTCTCTGACCGTTGAGCAATCCGCCTGCCTCTGGGCTTCAGAGTGCTAATTACAGGCGTGACCCCGTGGCCCCGCCCGTATGACAGGCATATTCTTCTCTTGCCTCTTCATCACCCTCTGTCCAAAATAAGACCTACGATTCCAGAAAACCATGTGGAGTTCAAGGACATAGATATAAAACAGGGCTTGAAACTTAAAGAAACAGAGAGACTTGGGGGAGGAGCGGGGTGCAGTGACGCGATGTGCTGCTGGAAACCGGCAGTTGGTGGTTTCCTCTTGTGCTTCTTCTGTGGGTTTTCACCTGCCTGGGGGAAGGCCTGTTCCTCTCCAGGACAGAGGGAATATATTTGAACTGTAACAACCTATAAGGATATAGAATAATTCCTTGAGTGCATGTGTGAATCCTGTCCATGGTGACCCTCAAAACCTGCACACAGGACCCCTTCCTACTGAGAGGAGGGGATCAAAGCAGCTCCACTTCCCAGGGTCCTCTCCTGTTCCAACTGGTCAGTGTCAACTAGAGGATATCTGCCCCACAAGGATCACCCCTCTGAGAGAAGCCTTAGGGTCAATGAGGCTAGTTTGAGACTTAAAACAGGTTTAGGCCGGGCGCTGTGGCTCACGCCTGTAATCCTAGCTCTTGGGAGGCCGAGGCGGCGGGCGATTGTCAAGGTCAGGAGTTCAAACAGCCTGAGCAGAGCGAGACCCCGTTCTCATATAAATAGAAAGAAATTAATTGGCAACTGATATATATATAAAAAAATTAGCCGGGCATGGTGGCGCATGGCCTGTAGTCCCAGTACCCGGGAGGCTGAGGCAGAAGGATCACTCGAGCCCAGGAGTTTGAGCTTGCTGTGAGCTACTGGCTGGAGCCACGGCACTCACTCTAGCCTGGGCAACAAAGCGAGACTCTGTCTCAAAAAAAAAAAAAAAAAAAACCAGGTTTGGCAGCCTCTCCGCTGCCTCTCTTTTCTCTTCTACAGCCTTTCTAGCTACAGCTGCCTGATCATCAATACTGACTTTGCTGGCTGCATGCTTCCCACAGGATATCTAGCTGTAACTTCCCAGGTGAAGGCAACACTACCTCTCCTGGACCATCCAGCAATGCCTCATGGATGGAGGCCAGGGCTGCACTCCCAAGTCCTGCATCAGAGGTTTCTCTTCATCTCATTCTCTTGTCCCTGTTTTTCTCCGATTTCAGTATCTCCCCTTCTTTTCCTAGGCTTCTGTTTCCACTCCCTCCCTTCCTGGCTTGGTAAACCAGTCCCTAACCCTTCACACCCTAGATTGGAAGGCATGTACTTCTCTTGACACTCCCCAGAGCTGTCATCAACCTTCTCCAGGTTTCCATAGCTCCATGCTCAACAATTTGCAGGGGTAACATTAACCCAGCCCTTAATTCTGCTCCAGCCACATTTTCTCCTAGAGGGAATTTTCCAATCACTGGTTAGCACAGCCAGAACAACTCACTCCCACCATCTTTCTTAACCTCTTGGGAAGGAGGAATCTGCTCAACTCATGGAACTGAGAACAAAGCTGGAAGGGTGCATTTTAAGGAATTTTATTTATTATTATTTTTTTTGGAGACAAAGTCTCACTGCTTACTCGAGCTAGAGTGCTGTGGGCCCAGCCTACCTCACAGCAAACAGGCATACACCACATTACCCAGCTATTTTTTTCTATATATATTTTTAGTTGGGCCAATTAATTTCTTTGTATTTTTAGTAGAGACGGGGTCCGCTCTTGCTCAGGCTTGGTTTGGAACTTCTGACCTCGAGCTATCCTCATGGCTTGGCCTCCCAGAGTGTTAGGATTACAGGCTTTAAATCTACTCCCCTGTGGCTGGGCACGGGTGGCTCACGGCCTGTATCCTAGCACTCTGGGAGGGCCCAGCAGGCGATTTTGCTGGAGCTCAGGAGTTGGAAACCAGCCTGGAGCGAGACCCTGTCTCTACTATAAATAGAAAGAATTAATTGGCCAACTAATAGTATATAGGAAAAAAATTAGCTGTATGGGTGGCGCGTGCCTCTAGTCCAGCTACTGGGAGGCTGAGGCAGCAGGATCGCTTGAGCCAGGAGTTTGAGCGGTTGCTGTTGAGCTAGGCTGACGCCATGGCACTCACTCTAGCCTGGGAACAGAGTGATCTCTGCTCTCAGAAAAAAAAAAATCTATCCCCTGGCCCAGAGTAGGCACTAAATAGTCGCTGAATGTATGCATGATACCCCGCTGTCCTTAGGAATGTGTATGTGTACGTAGGGATATGGGCATGTCCCAATAGTAGGTGGTGTTCTAATCAGATCTGCTTCTCTCTGCCAGAATTTGGTGTAATTCAAATGCTTCCACCTCCGCTTGAGCAGCCCAAATAATACATTAGGCGCTGTAATACCTTTGTGGGAGTGGTCATGCCCTGCACCCAGGAAACAGGCAAAGTAGGGCTGAGACAGGAGTCCCGATTATTTCCTCTTATTTACACTCACTCAGCTTAAAACACTCACTCAGCTCTTACTTTGTCAGGCACTGCTCTAAGCTCTTTATAAATATTAACTTAGAGGGTACAAATATTAACTTAGAGTTGTTGTTGGCATGAGTTGAATTAAGGTTGCTTATCTCCACTCTCCAGAAAAAAAAAAGTGTCTCTGGCCCTTTAACGTCGGCCTCCTCCCCATACCCACTCTCAAAGCCCCCCGACCGCTTTCCCCGGCTGGGACTCTAGCTCGGCTTCCGACCTTCTAGCCCGCTCCTCGCTGAGCCAATCAAAGCCCAGAAACTCTGAAGCCCGAGACCCGGCCGCTAAGCAACGACGGAGGGCGGGAAGTTTGAACGTTCTGGACCCGCCCCGAATGAGAATAGGCCAATCACTGTCCAGACTTTTCAGCCATTGTAGTTCACTCCTCCTTCTCGCCCTGTTGAATCTCTAGGCTGGATCCGGGTATCTCCGACCGATAGCAGCTAGGAGGGCGGGGCGTGTGCGTGCGCACCTCGCCCACACGCTGGCGCGTGCCCTTGCCGCGGACTAGTGACGGTTGGTCAGTGGGTTGGTCTGGCTCACCTCGCGACCCAGGTGACAGAAAAGGCGGGAAAACGCCTTGAGTTGGCGGCACTGGGGGCGGAGGGAGTCTAGAGGCTAAGGCCGTGGTCGTGGGATGTGATTGCCAGAAGCAGTGAGGTTGGACGTGCACAGCTCGCCCACGGGGCCCTCAGACGATCTCCCTCCAAAGTACAACCTCTGCGTGACAGAAGTGAGGGTGGGGCAGGCGGAGTTTCCCACAGTCTGTACTTCAGTGAAGTAACAGAGTGTCTCCTCAAAATGCCCCCATCCCTGTCACCACAGCTCTCCACGCCCCTCTCAGCCCTGCGCCTCGCCCTCTCGCGGGTCTCAGTAGACTTCCATTTCTGCGCGCAACCCTACCCCAGCCTCCTCGTGGGTGAAATGTTGCTTCTGAACCGCCTTCACTTTCTGTATCCGCAGAACCTCATGGCCTCTTTAGGAGCGACCTCAGGCAGGACGCCACAGGGACTCGGGCGTGTGGTGGCCTCCGACAGCTTCCCCAGCCCGGGCCCCATCCCACTGTCTGGCCCCAGGGAAGCAGAGCCGGAGGACGACGCGGAGGAGGAGCTGGCCGAGGTCTCTGGGGGGCGCAGAAGCTCCAATCAGGAGAGCAGGGAGTTGACACGAACGTTAGAATAAAATGGGGTTGGGAAGAGCTAGGCAAGTCTCTTAGCTCTGCTGAGTGTGTTTCACATGTACTAAGTGGGGGTGATCGTGCCTGTCCCAGAGATCTGATAGAATGATTAACATTTACACACGCAAATGATGTAGTGCATTTGGTTGTCACTATTCTCCACCATCCACAAAACAAGTTTGATATTTAAGGTCTTCCACAATCTTCCATTAATGTCTGTTTCAACATTTACTATAATGTAGTAAATGACACTACCAAAACTTCCTTTGTCCTGACCCTGGATGTGCAGACTTACTCGGGTTGCTCCTACCCATTAGAATACCGTTGCCTGATCTCTGCACAGTAAATATCCACCTGCCAATGATCAGATGGTGATAACTGTGGAAATAAAGACAACAAAATAAGGGGGGGGGGAAGGTTAACGTGAAATAAGATGGCAATAGCCTACACTTATGAATGATTCAAATATTAGTTTTCTTTCTTCGTCGCTGGACAGATCCATCTGTGTGTGCTGTGGAATTCAGGATACTTGGGCATTGCCTACTATGACAGTAGTGACTCCACCATCCACTTCATGCCAGATGCCCCAGACCATGAGAGCCTCAAGCTTCTCCAGAGAGGTGAGGACAGAACCATGAATTCTCTTACTCTTTCTCAGGTTGGAAGTGTGTTTCATATATATGTCCTTACCTGACCGTCTTAGTCCATTTTGTGTTGTTATAAAGGAATACCCGAGGCTGGGTAATTTAAAAAGAAATAAGATTTATTTGGCTTACAATTCTGATTGGCTGGAAAGTTCAAGATTGGGCATTTGCACCTAGTGAAGACTTCAGGCTGCTTCTGCTGTGGCAGAAGGGGAGGTAGCGTATGCAGAGATCATATGGTGAAAAGAGGAAGCAAGAGAGGGAGGGGAGTGCCTCGAACTCTTGGGCTTAGGCAATCCTCCCACCTCAGTCTCCAGAGTAGCTGGGACTACTGGCATGTGCCACCACACCTGGCTAATTTTTTTAAATTTTTATAGAGACAGAGTCTTGCTTGTTGCCCAGGCTAGTCTGAAACTCCTGGCCTGTAGCAGTCCTCCCACCTCAGCCTCCCAAAGTGCTGGGATTATAGGCATGAGCAACACCTGGCCAACTTTTCTAAATCTCATTCCTAATTCCTACCTATGTTCCCATTATGCAAAGCACTCCCTATCCTTAGAAGCAGGAAGTAAGTTTTAGAGGGGAAAAGGGGTAGCAAGAGGAAGGTTATAGGTTCTCTCTTAGACAAACATAAAGATTGTTTAACTCACTTGGTCTCTGTTCTCCTTCCAAGTTCTGGATGAAATCAATCCCCAGTCCATTGTTACAAGTGCCAAACAGGATGAGAATATGACTCAGTTTCTGGGGAAGCTTGGTAAGGACTGGGGATGGGAGAGAGGGAAAATGGAGAAGAACTAATGTATGGAATATTACAAGAGGCTAGAATTGGGTGAGAGGGAGGGTGGGACAGAGAGAGAAGGATTGAGATGTACAGAATAATGGCCCTTTGTTTGCCTCCCCCACAGCCTCCCAGGAGCACAGAGAGCCTAAGAGACCTGAAATCATATTTTTGCCAAGTGTGGATTTTGGTATCTCTTTCCTTTTGTTTTACACAATCATTCATCCCAGTGTCCCAGCCTTTTCTCCTAACTCCACCTCCATCATCAGAAATCTTCCCTCAACCTTATCTCATTCTAAGCCTTTGTTCTTTCCATGGCCCATGACCAGTCTCCCCAAGATCTCTTCTGCTCCCTACCATTTAATAATATGCAGCTTATTGTGAAGCCTCTGCTTAGGCATGTCTAGGGATGAGGGCCTTCCCTAAGAAGGAATGGTGATACTTTTTGGATAGGTCTGATAGTTGGGATTTTCCTCATAAAGGCAAAGCCATATATCACCAAAAAAAAAAAAAAAAAAAAAAGCACTGCCTCAGTGACCACGATGATCCATAAGGCACTTTCATAGCCTTTCCAGGTTTACAATAAGGATAGGGAGTGTTTTATCTAATTAGATGTTGAAGCATTAGTGTTATTAGTTTCTCTATTATTAATACAGTTTTTTTTAACCAAAATCCCCAATTCCAGACAGATATCTTACTTCCCTGAACCATGTATCTTTTCAGATTGTGCTCTCAGCCAAATATCTTTTTTTTTTTTTTTTTTGAGACAGAGTCTCACTTTGTTGCCCAGGCTAGACTGAGTGCCATGGCGTCAGCCTGGCTCACAGCAACCTCAAACTCCTGGGCTCAAGCGATCCTCCTGCCTCAGCCTCCCGAGTAGCTGGGACTACAGGCATGTGCCACCATGCCCGGCTAATTTTTTGTATATATATTTTTAGTTGGTCAATTAATTTATTTCTATTTTTGGTAGAGACGGGGTCTCGCTCAGGCTGGTTTCGAACTCCTGACCTTGAGCAATCCGCCCGCCTCGGCCTCCCAGAGTGCTAGGATTACAGGCGTGAGCCACCACGCCCGGCCTCAATTATCTTTATATGTAGTCTAAAAAGAGAATTAATCTAAGAGTCTGAAAATTTGATTCTTTCTTCAGCTTTCCATTAACTGCCAGTGTGAGCTTGAGCAAGTTACATTATCTTTTTTGCTTCTATTGTCCCATTCTTAAAATGGGATGAAAAAATTGGGCTATAAGACCTTTTCCTCCTCTTGCCTTCCCCAAATAGGTCTGGAGATAAGCAAGCAGCGCCTCCTTTCTGGAAACTACACCTTCATCCCAGACTCCATGACCGCCACTGAGAAAGTTCTCTTCCTCTCCTCCATTATTCCTTTTGACAGCCTCCTCACAGTGAGATGGGTCCTGGGGCAAAAGAGTTGGGAGGGGGCAGGTTGAAGAAATGTACAGAAACCTTAGTCCTAGGGTTGAGTTCTGGGGGGAACTGGCCCAGCCCTGGAAAATAACCATTTTCCTTGGTGTTGTACAGCCCCCAGAACATTAGGATTCACCCCAACTCCACTGCTGATTCCCTCCCAGGTTCAAGCACTTGGAGGGCTGCTCAAGTTCCTTGGTCGAAGAAGAATTGGGGTTGAACTGGAAGACTATAATGTCAGCGTTCCCATCCTGGGGTTTAAGAAATTTGTATTGTAGGTGATTCACCCTAACCTTGGTCAAAGTAAGGTCGGGGTGGGAGAGCGGTGGGCAGTGACCCAGTGGGACACACAGGAGAACCTGAGGATGTGGAACTCTGGGGAGAAGATTGGGGCAATATACAGGGAGTGGGGCAAAGGAGGTGGATCTTTGGAATTAACTCAGACCCCTCATACCCCAACCACCTTCCTGCTGGTTTTCTGTCCTCAGGACCCATCTGGTGAGCATAGATCAAGACACTTACAGGTAAGGAGGTAGAGGCAGGCTGCCAACTCTGGGGAGGGAGAAGGATTAAATTTAAAGCTTTAACAATCCTAATGAGGTTCTAGTTTCCCTAATCCTGGGGCTATTAAGATCTCTCTCTCTGAAGAAGGGGGAGGAGGGTAAGGAGGAAGAAAAACACAAAAGTATCACCTTCCTTTTCTAAAGGAGAAACTGAGGCACAGAAAAGTGAGGGACAAACCTTACGTCAAGACTTGATCTCAAGGCCGGGCACGGTGGCTCTCACCTGTAATCCTAGCACTCTGGGAGGCCGAGGCAGGCAGATTGCTCAAGGTCAGGAGTTCAAAACCAGCCTGAGCAAGAGCAAGACCCCGTCTCCACTATAAATAGAAAGAAATTAATTGGACAACTAATATATATATATACATATATAGAAAAAATTAACCGGGCATAGTGGTGCATGCCTGTAGTCCCAGCTACTTGGGAGGCTGAGGCAGGAGGATTGCTTGAGCCCAGGAGTTTGAGGTTGCTGTGAGCTAGGCTGACTCCATGGCACTCACTCTAGCCTGGGGACAAAGTGAGACTCTGTCTCAAAAAAAAAAAAAAAAAAAAAGACTTGATCTCAAGAAGATATCCCCACCCCATCCCATTTTCTCAGTCCTCAATTCCAATTCCCTTGAAAAATCCAAATTACCCTGAACTACTCCATTTCTCCCTGACAGTGTTCTACAGATTTTTAAGAGTGAGTTTCACCCCTCGGTGTACAAAGTGGCCAGTGGACTAAAGGAGGGGCTCAGCCTCTTTGGTAGGTGTGCCCCATTCCTCATCTCACACTATAGAAACCTGCCAGAAAAGCAGTTGGCTCCAAAAATGTGTCCCAGCCCTACTCTTGCCACTTCTCTCCCATCGCCAGATGTCTCTTCCACTCCAACCCAGCTTTCTTATCCTCTTTGTACCCTCTCTGAGCTTGAGCATCTCCCCGTACTCCGTAGCTATACAGGTTGTTTGCATATCAATTGTTCCTTTACCAATTCTATGTTCCTTTCCTGGGTTTGCATGAATGTTTCTACTACTTGGGCACCTGTTAGGGACTTGGGAGGCCCTGTGTATAGAGGAGAGCTATGCAGCTGTGCAACTGCCTGTGTTTGATTTGCACAGTCTTTATCAGTTGTCTAGCTTTAAGGTATATTAGGGACATTTGCTCCAAGTATCTTGGTGAGTTGTGTCCAAGTTTTACATAAGTGTGTTGAGCTCAGCCGGGTACGGTGGCTCACGCCTGTAATCCTAGCACTCTGGGAGGCCGAGGCAGGCAGATTGCTCGAGGTCAGGAGTTCGAAACCAGCCTGAGCAAGAGCGAGACCCCATCACTACTGTAAATCGAAATAAATTAATGGGCCAACTAATACATATAGAAAAAATTAGCCGGGCATGGTGGCTCATGCCTGTAGTCCCAGCTACTTGGGAGGCTGAGGCAGGAGGATTGCTTGAGCCCAGGAGTTGGAGGTTGCTGTGAGGTAAGCTGATGTCATGGCACTCACTCTAGCTTGGGCAAAGCGAGACTCTGTCTCAAAAAAAAAAAAATATTTCTATTTATAGTAGAGATGGGGTCTCGCTCTTGCTCAGGCTGGTTTCGAACTCCTGACCTTGAGCAATCTGCCCGCTTTGGCCTCCCAGAGTGCTAGGATTATAGGTGTGAGCCACTGCGCCCGGCCTCTTTGTGAGTTTTAACTAGGTATGTTTTGTGTATTTTTCTGGCTGAGTGTTCCTGTGAATGTCGATCCCTCCCTCTATCTCCAGTAATCCTGGCTCAGATTTGTGGCCAGGCACCAGCTTCGGCTGCCATTGTGTCCTGTATCTGGGCCCCCCAGGCCAGCCTGCCCAATACCAGCACCTCTGACCTGGATGCCTCAGTTTAGACACATAGACACGTCCCATTCCCTGCCTCTACCCTCCCCCCACAGGAATCCTCAACAGATGCCGCTGTAAATGGGGAGAGAAGCTGCTCAGGTGAGTGGGTTTCACATGCATGCTACATGCTAATCATGAGTTCTATGTACATACCACATACTGATGCTTACTAATAGCACTGTACAGATTCTCACACACACCACCCCACTGAGTAGTAGTAAAGCAACCACCCTTTACTGAGCACTGGCTAAATGCATTTAATCCTTACAATAGCCCCATGTGGCAGCTAGTATTATTGTCTTTTTTTGTTGTCAGCACAGATACACATATACCTATCGATGATACATAGACTTGCACACACAAAGCAGCAGAAACACAACCGTAAAATGCTACTATAACTCAGAGTAATATCTTTTATTATAAAAAATGCATTTCAGGCCGGGCGCGGTGGCTCACGCCTGTAATCCTAGCACTCTGGGAGGCCGAGGTGGGCGGATTGCTGGAGGTCAGTTCGAAACTAGCCTGAGTAAGAGCAAGACCCCGTCTCTACTATAAATAGAAATTAATTGGCCAACTAATATATATAGAGAAAAAATTAGCTGGGCATGGTGGCGCATGCCTCTAGTCCCAGCTACTTGGGAGGCTGAGGCAGTAGGAGTGCTTGAGCCCAGGAGTTTGAGGTTGCTGTGAGCTAGGCTGACTCCATGGCACTCACTCTAGCCTGGGCAACAAAGTGAGACTCTGTCTCAAAAAAAACAAAAAACAAAAACGCATTTCAAATTTCCCTAATGACTCTCAGATTTGTGTCTCTAGTTTCTAACTCATGTGGCATATTAATTGTGTATCATTGCGACCTGCGCTTTTCACAGGCTGCTCAGACTCAGAGCATTCAGACTGATACCCACCAGACATGTTCCCCTTCCTGGGTTCCCTTTTCAGGTTAATGGCATTGCTGGCAGTACAGCTTCTCAAACTATGAACCTTTAATTGATGTTTCTCCCTCAACTCCCATGTGTTGTTATTCGCTAAGGCCTATTGATTCCATCCTGAAATGTCTCTCCCAGCCATCCTTTTCCGTCTCTTTCCACTGCTTTAGTTCTGGCTTTCATCATGTAACCTAGAGCATTGTATTTGCCTCCAAATTGGTCTCTCTGCCTCAAATCTCTTCTTTCTCTAATTCATCCTTCATTCTGAAATATATGTCATTCCAAAATAGAGCTCTAAGCATATCACTTCACTTTTAAATGCCTTAAGTAGAAACAAACAAAATAACATAAACCTCAGGAGGATTTTCTGTTACCTTCAGGATGAAGATTAGCATCTTTAGCAGTATGGTGTTCAGGGTCTCTCCCATTCACTGGAATTTTAATTTCTAGGCTCACCTTCCCAAGCCCCTTTTAAGTCCTTTCCTACTGGATCCACTGTATATTCTAGTCATTTAGGGCCACTTGCCATTATGGAAACACATGATCCCTGTGTTTATGCTGTTCCCCCAAAGTCATACCCCTCTTCACCTGTCAAAATCTTACATCCTCCAATTATTACCTTTTTGATGAAGTTTTCATAGGTACCTTTAAGGAGATCAATGTGCACCTTTCTTGTGCTCACATAGTGTTTGTTTAGGTTTTTCTAGTTGCACTGTCACATCAGGTTAGAATTAGAAGTCAGTGAATCTGCTTGGCTCCATAGCTGTGCACTGTGTCCAGTGGCCATTCCTGTTACCTCAGTGCCTGCACGTGGCCTTGTACATAGTAGCGCTCAGTGAGTGAACACAGTGGGTGAATGTAAGCATATGGGTCACATCATCTCTAAAAACTCAGAGTGGAAACTTTTGCTAGACTACAGGTACACAATCCCCCACGTCACCTGCCTTGCAATGTGTATCTTTTAGGGATTAATTTAGGATCATCTCTGAGGTCATCTCCAGGTAATTGGTGGGGTAATTTAATTACCCACACATTCTTTAGTGCCTCTGATGTAGATCTCTAATCTCAACCAGGGATGAAGGGAAGGAATTAGTGCAGATTCCCCAGATGGGATCCAAGAGAGCATAGAATCATATAAAATGAATGATGAAGTAAGGACCTAACTAGCCTAAAGCTGGACAGGGTACAAAGAAGGTAACCGAATGTCATAGTATGTGCTATAACTTTCACTGGCAGATGACTTTGAATAAGTTGCTTATCCTCTAATGGCTTCATTTCCTCAACTGTAAAATTAGGGAGTTTGGCTTGACTAAGGTCTCTCCTGGCACTAGCAGGTCATAAGTCAGAGATACCTAGGTGTTCACAAGAAAGTGCTTAGTGAGGCTCATGTGCTTTCCCAAGTGGGGATGGGTATTCACAGTGTGATCTCCACTGCTGTGGCTGAAGCCTTCAATGGCCAAGGAGCATAGGTACCTAAAACCCACCCTGAAGCCATAAGGATACTCTGCTTCATTCTAATCTGGGGTATTCTAATTCTGAGTAACTGGCCATAGACTGCAATGTGAGATACAAATTCTTTTTGGCCCTAGTGTCTTGACACATTGGCTTTTTTTTTTTTTCTTTTCTTTTTTTGAGACAAGGTCTCGCTCTGTTGCCAGGGCTAGAGTGCAGTGGCATCATTATAGCTCACTGCAACTTCACTGGGCTCAAGTGATCCTCATTTCAGGACTTAAGTGATCCTCCTGCTTCAGCGACTACAGGTGTGATCTACCATGCCCAGCTGATTTTTTTTTTTTAATTTTTATTTATTTATTTTTTTTGTAGAGAAGGGTTCTCTCTATTGCCCAGGCTGGTCTTGAACTCCTGTCCTCACTGATCCTCCCCGCCTCAGCCTCCCAAAATGCTGGGATTACAGGCATGAGCCACCATGCCTGACACATGTTGGCTTTTTTTTTTTTTTTTTTTTTGAGACAGAGTCTCGCTTTGTTGTCCAGGCTAGAGTGAGTGCCGTGGCGTCAGCCTAGCTCACAGCAACCTCACACTCCTGGGCTCGAGCGATCCTTCTGCCTCAGCCTCCCGAGTAGCTGGGACTACAGGCATGCGCCACCATGCCCGGCTAATTTTTTATATACATATCAGTTGGCCAATTAATTTCTTTCTATTTATAGTAGAGACGGGGTCTCGCTCTTGCTCAGGCTGGTTTTGAACTCCTGACCTTGAGCAATCCGCCCGCCTCAGCCTCCCAGAGAGCTAGGATTACAGGCGTGAGCCACCGCGCCCGGCTTACATGTTGGCTTTTATATAAAATGGCTGCTTGCTTTTTGTAGAAAAGAATCTGTGGGCTCACAGGTCCTTATAGAGTCTCACATTCTTCATAGCCATAGAGAGATAAGGACACCCAGAATTGGACAAACACAGATAAGACATTATTTCTGTATACTCATATATTTTATTAGGAAGTACCCGCAAAAAGATAATATAACCTCTGAATATCCACCAGCCAATTTCAGAATAAGATGTTAAAGCCTCTTAATGTCCCCTATCCTTTTTTGTCTGCAAAGATGACCATTATTATGAACTAAAGGCTTATCGTTCCACATGGCACAGTTATATACTTTCACAGGAAGGGCACAAAAAGGCGAATATGTATACTAATAATCAGCTTTCACAGTTAATATAGACACTTGCACAGCTAAATACAGACATACAAACTCATACTGACTTACCCTGTCCTACTCAGCCAGAGAGAGAGCTGCAGTGCTGGCACACAAATACCTCAACACACTGCTCTCCCTCTAAAATATTGACAAGCTCTGCCACATACCCACATGAAATGACACATGGTCATATCCATCAAAACCATGATATGCAGACACAGTCATGCTCTCATCCAGAGATTTTCAGTAGGTACACATAAACACACCCGCATGGATAGGACACTACATTTGTCACTACATTTCTGTAGCATGTCACACGGATACATATTGCCACAATCCCCAGGGACCTGAAAACACATTTTGGCTAATTGAGATCAAGACAATGACGAGGACAGATGTAATTTCTAGTCTCCCCACCTCAACTCTCACTTCCAGGCTATGGTTCACACGTCCCACTCAGGACCTAGGGGAACTCAATTCCCGTCTGGACGTCATTCAGTTTTTTCTGCTTCCCCAGAATCTGGACATGGCTCAGATGCTGCATCGGCTGCTTGGTCACATCAAGAACGTGCCTGTGAGCACGTTCACCCCTAGGGTGGGGTCAGGGAGGTTGGGGAGGAGGTTGAGGGGCCCATATTGGACACTGAACTTGGTTTCTGAGGGGCATTACAGTTGGGGAGGGAAAACAGTGGCTGTCATCTTGTCTGACTGTAGCTGATTTTGAAACGCATGAAGTTATCCCACACCAAGGTCAGCGATTGGCAGGTTCTCTACAAGGTAAGGCCTCCCTTCTTGAATGCCAGAAGTCCAGGTTAAACCCCTCAGCTTGTCTTCCAGACCCTCTGTACTTGGGACACCCTGTCCAACTTTATTCCCATCACTTTTTTTTTTTTTTTTTTTTTTTTTTTGAGACAGAGTCTCACTCTGTTGCCTGGGCTAGAGTGCCTTGGTGTCAGCCTAGCTCACAGCAACTTCAAACTCCTGGGCTCAAGCAATCCTTCTAACTCAGCCTCCCAAGTAGCTGGGACTACAGGCATGTGCCACAATGCCTGGCTAATATTTTTCTATATATTTTTAGTTGGCCAATTAATTTCTTTCTACTTTTAATAGAGACGTGGTCTCACTCTTACTCAGGCTGGTTTTGAACTCCTGACCTGGAGGGATCCTCCAGGATTACAGGCGTGAGCTACCACGCCTGGCCTCTGGTTGGCTTTTGATATGCCCTTTTGATATGGTCTCTAATTCTTTGTTTTGAGCACTTCCTAACTCTTTTTTTTACTTCAAACTCATCTTTTTCCCTTCCATAGCCCTGGAGTCAGTTTCTCTAAGGAGCTCTGTTACTTTTTGGAGAATGGTATTAGAAACCAAGATCTGATTCCTAGGTGTAGGTTTTGCTACTGGGGTATCTGACACTTCTAGGCCATCGTCATAGATGGTGCTGGAAAATATATGTATGTATGCTAACTCATGCATACATATCTATATTCCTGTATCTGTCTATAATAAAGAAATACCAAGTTCGTAATGATACCACTGATTCCAGTCCACTACCACGAGATTCACTCTATACTTTTCTTTTTTCTTTCTTTTTTTTTTTTTTTTTTACAATAGAATCTTGCTCTGTTGCCCTGGCTAGAGTGCCATGGTGTCAGCCTAGCTCACAGCAACCTCAAACTCCTGGGCTCAAGTGATCCTTCTGCCTTAGCCTCCTGAGTAGCTGGGACTACAGGCATGTGCCACCATGCCTGGCTAATTTTTTCTATTTTTGGTAGAGACGGAGTCTCGCTCTTGCTTAGCCTGGTCATGAGCTCTTGAGCTCAAATGATCCTCCTGCCTTGGCCTCCCAGAGTGCTAGGATTACAGGCGTGAGCCACTGTACCCAGCCCACTCTCGACTTTTCTTCCTTTCCTTATTTGTACCTTCTTTCTCTGATAGTGAGAAATGTGGTTCTCATCATCTGTAGTACATATGCTTAACATATAAAGTAACCTCAGTTTTAAAAAATATGAGTGGACACGTATGACTATTTGTATCCTCCTTTCCCACTGCTTCTTAACATTTATCCACTGCTTCAACCAGGCTGCATTTCAGCCCTCTGGCTAGGATACCTGCCCAGTAGAGTGTGCTGGTGAAAAGCCAGACACCTGGATTCAAATCGCAGCTCTTCCATTTACTCGCTGTGAGACCCTGAGGAAAGTACATCACCTCTTTGTGGTTGAGATTGGTTATCTGTAAAATTGAGCTAATAGTAGTTCCTACCTCATAGGAGTATTTTGAGGAATGAATGCAATGAACACATGTAAAAGGTTAGAACATTGCCTGGCACAGAGCAAACAGTTGGTAAATGTTATCTCTTATTCCTATTGCTATTCATTAGTCCATGCATGCTCTTGCCCGCACACACAATGCCTACCTGCCTGCCTGCATTTATAGGAGGCTTATTTAAAGCCCAACTCATTTCCTTTTCTCTGCAAAGACATCCCAACGATCTTAGCTACAGAATATGACTGTATTAGTCTTACTCTCTGAACTTCGTTAGTAATTTGAGTCAGTTTTACAACTTGATCAATCTGTCTTATGGTTAATCAGTGTTTTTGCTACTTGTTTATTTACATCATGGCTAGATTTATAACCCCTTTGATTTAAATGCTTTATACATCCCCTACCACAAAATAAGGATCCATAAATGTCCAAGAGATTGGGTCGGTCTACTCAATCTAATCTGTAGTTAGATCAGCTGCCTCAGGTCTCTAACCTTCACCCTGAGGAACTAACTCTCAATGGCTCCCAGCCTTCCTCTCTAACTGTTCTCCCTTATCCTAATGCTGGCATTGTTCCTCCTCACAGATACCTCTTCCCTGTCCTTCTGAGCCATGTTTCTCTTTCTTTTTTCTTTTCTTTTTTTTTTTTGAGACAGAGTCTCGCTTTGTTGCCCAGGCTAGAGTGCCGTGGTGTCAGCCTAGCTCACAGCAACCTCAAACTCCTGGGCTCAAGCAATCCGCCTGCCTCAGCCTCCCAAGTTGCTGGGACTATAGGCATGTGCCACCATGCCCGGCTAATTTTTTCTATATATTTTTAGTTAGCCAATTAATTTCTTTCTATTTTTAGTAGAGACGTGGTCTCACTCTTGTTCAGGCTGGTTTTGAACTCCCGACCTTGAGTGATCCTCCCACCTTGGCCTCCCAGAGTGCTAGGATTACAGGCGTGAGTTACCCTGAGCTACTGTGCCCAGCCAGAGCCATATTTCTCTTTCTTCCTCCTCTATACAAACTCCTTCTTTAGGAGTTTGTGCAAACCTTTATCAAAGCACTTACCACCTTATTTTTAAATCTTCAGCATGTATTTCTGTCTTCCTTACTAGACTGAGAGCTTATCTGGGACAGGGACCGTATCTTAGTTGTCAGTGTTTAGTACAGTGCCTGGCACAGAGTTTTATAGATTCTGTTTTCTCTCTCACTGTTCCTTTTTGCCTTTGAGAGCTCTTTTTGTTATTGTGCTTTTCCCTGTTGGTCTTTGTTCTTGTGAGTCCATCCCTGTCCCCTCACCTCAGCCAGTCTGGATGCAGGCCCCTTTCTCAGTGCGTTTCTCCCATAGACTGTGTACAGTGCTTTGGGCCTAAGGGATGCCTGCCGCTCCCTGCCCCAGTCCATCCAGCTCTTTCGGGACATTGCTCAAGAGTTCTCTGATGACCTGCACCATATCGCCAGCCTCATTGGGAAGGTGGTGAGTGGAAGAAAAGAGGCAGAGCACCTGAGGAGGTTGGGACGAGAGTGGAGAGGGACTGGTGCCTGGTTCTCCACGGGGAAGGCAGTGTGGGAGAGAGTTTTTTAAGCATGGGAGATGTTGAGGTCAGTTGGGTGGTTGAAGAATGGGATGATGGCTGGGCGTGGTGGCTCACACTTGTAATCTTAGCACTCTGGGAGGCCGAGGCGGGCAGATTGTTTGAGCTGAGGAGTTCGAGACCAGCCTGAGCAAAAGCAAGACCCCGTCTCTACTAAAAATAGAAAGAAATTAGCTGGACAACTAAAACTATATAGAAAAAATTAGCCGAGCATGGTGGCGCATGCCTGTAGTCCCAGCTACTCAGGAGGCTGAGGCAGGAGGATCACTTGAGCCCAGGAGTTTGAGGTTGCTGTGAGCTAGGCTAATGCCACGGCACTCTAACCTGGGCAACAGAGTGAGACTGTCTCAAAAACAAAAAAGAATGGGATAATGAGAGAATGTGGCAGAACTTCAGGGAAGTGCCTGGAGGGTGAGGGTAAAGCAGAGCTGCAGGGAGAATTGGGGCCCAAGGAGAGCTGAGGAACAGGACAGAGAGAGGGAGCTAGCTGCTGGGAAACTGGACTTCTTATCTCCTCAGGTGGACTTTGAGGGCAGTCTTGCTGAAAATCGCTTCACAGTCCTCCCCAACATAGATCCGGAAATTGATGAGAGTGAGTGTTAGGTGTGTGGATGACTTGGGAACCCTGGAACAGGAGCCTGCAGTGATGGGGCACCATCCTTGGCAGGCAGTCACCACAGCTGGGTTCGTCATAGCAACCAGGCAGGAACCTCACTTTTAATATTCATATTTCTTCTACCCCCCTAGAAAAGCGAAGGCTGATGGGACTTTCTAGTTTCCTCACTGAAGTCGCCTGGAAGGAGCTGGAAAATCTGGACTCTCGAATTCCTTCATGCAGTGTCATCTACATCCCTCTGGTGAGGGCAGGAGAGTGGGTGTAGCCTCCAAGAGAGGGTCTTTTTTTTTGTTTGTTTGTTTTTTTTGGAGACAGTGTCTCACTCTGTTGCCAGGGCTAGAGTGTCATGGCGTCAGCCTAGCTCACAGCAACCTCAAACTCCTGGGCTCATGCAATCCTTCTGCCTCAGCCTCCTGAGTAGCTGGGACTACAAGCATGTACCACCATGCCCAGCTAATTTTTTGTATATATTTTTAGTTTGCTAATTAATTTCTTTCTATCTTTAGTAGAGACGGGGTCTCGCTCTTGCTCAGGCTGGTTTTGAACTCCTGACCTCGAGCAAGCCACCCCCCACCCCCCACCCCGCTTCAGCCTCCCAGAGTGCTAAGATTACAGGCATGAGCCATCGCACCCAGCCCAAGAGAGGGTCTTTTAGGGGAGATTTTAGGCCTATGAGGGATATATTGGTAGATAAGAAAACTTAGGGGAGCCTGAAGAACATGAACACCTTTTGGTGTGGACACAGTTAGGCTTCTTCTACAGAGAGAAGGTGCCCAGTATGTCTCCCAGTAGGAGAGTAGTGTATCTCCTTTTCACTCTTCCCAGATCGGCTTCCTTCTTTCTGTTCCCCGCCTGCCTTCCATGGTAGAGGCCAGTGATTTTGAGATTGAAGGACTGGACTTCATGGTAAGACCCTCGACCTCTATAGGGAGGGGATAAGTAAAATGCATCAGCAGCTGAGGAAGGGCCTTACCCCATTACCACTGCCCAATCTGGGATCTCTCAGTAGTTTTCTCTGAGCTTTCCAGCTCTGAGATAAGCAAGAAAAGTCAGGAGGAGGGCTGGTGGTGGGGTTAGACAGGTGGAAGAGGAGAGGAGGACCAAGAGATACAAAGCCCATGGCTTTGACCTCTTGTACCCAGTTTCTCTCAGAGGAGAAGCTGCACTATCGTAGTGCTCGAACCAAGGAGCTGGATGCATTGCTGGGGGACCTGCACTGTGAGATCCGGGGTGAGGAGAAGCCAGAGGCTGGAGGGAATGAACAGCTTGCCGATGCTTCTCTTGCTGCTCTCTGTCTCTCTTGCTCTGACTTTTCAGCTGAATGTCTCTGGGGGTTTCAGATGGTATCTGCACACCTGTCTCTAGGTCCCTCTGGGGACCTCCGTCTTTCCTTCACTTTACCCTAGAGCTGACCCCTCCTTCACCCACCTGCAGACCAGGAGACCCTGTTGATGTACCAGCTGCAGTGCCAGGTACTGGCACGGGCAGCTGTTTTGACCCTGGTATTGGACCTTGCCTCCCGCCTGGACGTCCTGCTGGCTCTTGCCAGTGCTGCCCGGGATTATGGCTACTCAAGACCCCGTTACTCCCCCCATCTTCTTGGCGTACGGATCCAGAATGGCAGGTGAGAAGGGGCTGGAGCATAGACACGAGGGGCCCAAAGGCCCCATCTTCTGGGGTTCATCTATCTGGATCTACAGGCCATGTGAGGTGACTCTCCATCCACTGCAGACATCCGCTGATGGAACTCTGTGCCCGAACCTTCGTGCCCAACTCTGCAGAATGCGGTGGTAACAAAGGGAGGGTCAAAGTCATCACTGGACCCAACTCCTCAGGAAAGAGCATATACCTCAAACAAGTGAGAAGCCTTATAGCCTGGTCCCCTGGCATCTTCTCCACCCCCACCTGCTGGCCAACCTGGGCCCCTACAGCTCTCTTCTCCTGTGTTCCGGCCCCACCTGTCATGAAAAGACCACCAGGCACACCCTGGCTCTTCCACCTCACATGTTCTCATTCTCTGCTGAGGGAGAGCCATGCTCTCATGAATCTTTCCATGGCTTGAATTCCCTGCACCCACCTCTGAACAGGTACATGCCATCCCCCAGTGTGCCTCTGCCCACTCCCCTAGGCCTCCTCACTGACTCTCAATGAGGTGCTATGATCAGGCTTGGGGGAGAAGAGGGACAGTGTGCTCTAAACCCATCTCTCTTTGATCTCTCATTCATGCCCTCAGCTGAGCCTCACTTTCACCTCAGCCCACAGCACCAGGCCGCAGCCCTGTCTCCTCCCCTATTCAGGTGGGCTTGATCACATTCATGGCCCTTGTGGGCAGCTTTGTGCCAGCAGAGGAGGCTGAAATTGGGGCAGTAAATGCCATCTTCACCCGAATTCATAGCTGTGAATCCATCTCCCTTGGCCTCTCCACCTTCATGATCGACCTCAACCAGGTCAATGGGAACAAAGGGAGGTGGGACTGGGGGAGGGGATAATGAGGAAGGAAGCCCTGAAGATGCTCAGAACGGAATGCAGTCCCTCTGCTGTGTGCCCCTATACTGGGGCAGGGAGCACCCAGCTCAGAGACGGGAGGAATCAGTTCCACAAAACTGTCTCGAACCCTTGCTTTTTGCGGGCCACTGTGGCAGTGAAAGGATGAACAATCACACACCTCACCATGGAGAACTCACAGGGCAGCAGGGTGGGCACAAACGCAGCTTTGTTCCTAGGCAGACTGTGGTCAGTGCATCACAGAACTCAGATACTAACGAAACTTTCCCTTGTCAACCTCCTGCCCAGCAGGTGGCAAAGGCAGTGAACAATGCCACTGCGCAGTCTCTGGTCCTCATTGATGAATTTGGAAAGGGAACCAACACGGTGAGAAGAGAAGCTGATGAGGAAATGAGGAAGGGAAATGGAGGAGGATGAAGGAGAGGAACAGGGAGGCTGGGCCCTGGGAAAAGAATAGGGATGTGTAGGCAGAAAAGAAACAGAGAACATGAGGAAGGGAAAGGGCAGGGCAGGTGCACTGGACACATGGGGTCCCCATGGCTCTGCACCTTCACCTGTGCCCTCTGCGCAGGTGGATGGGCTGGCACTTCTGGCCGCTGTGCTCCGACACTGGCTGGCGCTTGGACCCACGTGTCCCCACATCTTTATGGCCACCAACTTTCTGAGCCTTGTTCAGCTACAGCTGCTGCCACAAGGCCCCCTGGTACAGTATTTGGTGAGGAAACCAATCCAGCCCCCAGGAGTCCCTAGGCTGAGTGTTTCCTGGGGGGTGGGGACATCAGGTTCTCTATCAGAACAGCGGTTCCCTGAGCACAGAGACCTCATCCCTTCCCTTTTCTCACTCCCCACAGGGACTGGCCAAGGGTTTCAGGGCAGGAATCAGGTGATTGAGGACACATTATTCCCTTTTATTCTCTTTTAAGACCATGGAGACCTGTGAGGATGGGAACGACCTGGTTTTCCTCTATCAGGTTTGCGAAGGTGTTGCCAATGCCAGCCATGCCTCCTACACAGCTGCCCAGGCTGGGCTTCCTGACAGACTCATTGCTCGTGGCAAGGAGGTGATGAGATCTGAATGTCCATCCGCCCCCACCTCAGGGCTCCCTTCTGCTGGCTCTACTCCTCTTGGAGATCTCAGTTTCTGGACCCACAGGATTTCTGACCCTTGTTTCCTCTTCTCTTCCCCAACACCCCACTGCCACCCCTTCCACCCTCCTTGTCGTTCCTAGGTCTCAGACTTGATCCGCAGTGGAAAACCCATCGAGCCAGTCAAGGAGTTGCTAAAGGAGAACCAGATGAAAAAGTGAGTGTGTGGCCCCTATGTCTTCGCTCTCTCAAGCATCTTCCCCTCTATCCTCTTTCCCGGGGCTCAGCCAGCCTTCTCTAGCATTTTGCCCTTCAAAGACCCATTATTTCTTTCTGAAGTCCCTAAATCTTCAAGGTGCTGGGTTTCCTGTGCCACAGCCTCTCCCCTCTGTCAGGGACTTCGTTATCCATTCTCCCATAAATCTTGCTCTTCTCTCTCCCCTTCAGTTGCCAGGCTTTAGTGGATAAGTTTCTGAAACTGGATTTGGAAGACCCTAACCTGGATTTGAACATGTTCATAAGGCAGGAAGTGCTGCCTACCGCCACCACCATCCTCTGAGAGTCCTTCCTCTACCCTCCCCAACTCTATACAACCCCGGTGGGCTGCCATCCCTCTGTTTCCTTATCTTCTTCAGGCCCAGAGTTCTTAGTTTCTCTAGAAATTTTGTTTCATATTATAAATAAAGTTTATTTCAGACAAAGATATTATTTCCTGAGGCCAGCCAAAACAAAACAAGAGAATAGGAAAGATCTGAAACACCATGCAGGAATCTGCAGAGGAACTTGCCCTGCCTCCTTAAAAATTCAGGGACACTGCTATAGGGAGACCCTCAGATTCTACCCAAGTAGACTCCATGAGAACAAACCACTTAGGCCCTACAGAAACAGATTGTAGGGAAGACACAGGGACCCAAGGGAGATGGTCTCTCCCCACAAGTAGGAACACCCCAGCCTCACACACACACAGGAGGAAGTGGCCAGGGAGACTGAAAGACAAGGCAGGATGGGTGCAAGGCAGGGGTGGAGGGGGAGGGACCAGCTGGGCTGCACCAGTGGAAGTGGCTCCACCCTTCCCACCTCAGAGCCATGGGGAGCCAGGGTCCTGGTGGGCTGCCCCTGGTGCAGGCTCCCTACACAGTTCTGCTGCTGCCGCTGGGGACAAGCCGCCAAGACACAGGAGCCCAGAGCTTCTTCCTCTGGGTGAGTATTACCCCAGCAAGAGGTCCCATAGGAAGCCCCTCTGCCTAGATCTGCCCTTTATATTTCCACTCAACTTGAGGACCCACAAAGTCTTCCTGCCTGCTCCACCTTGACCTTCAGGTCCTCAGTGGCCAGTCTGGGTTCACACTCTGTGACCAGACAGTGAACCCAACCAGGCGTGGAAAGAAAAGGCCACGGCCCAGAGCCCTGCTGTGGCATGAGAGTCAGCTTCTGCTTCTTGTCTTTCCCAGTTGCAGAGGATGCAGGCTCTGGAGAGAGAACAGGATGCCCTGTGGCAGGGGCTGCAGCTGCTAGAGCATAGCCAGGCCTGGTTTGAAGACCGTCTGAGGGAGGCACAGCAACAGCAGCTACATCTGGGGGCCCTTGGTGAGGTATGAGGCTACCCCTCTGTGTGAGTGGAGGGCAAGGGAGGGAGAGCAGGGCATGTGCGGACACAACCTGAGACCACTCTGGAGAGGGGAGAGTTAATAGGCAGGGATCATGAATTGGAGGCAGCATCATAATGACAAGATGCCACTAAGCATTATGTTGGTGTTCATTGTTGGGGCTGGTGAGGCTGGTCTGCATTCCATTCGGAGGGATTCTATTTGGATCACTCCATAGAGATGAGGGCGTGGCCTGGATTATTCCAATGGAGCAGGGATGGATAGGGAGGATCCATAAAGAACAGGGAAAGGGGGAATTGTGCTATCTGAGGGGGATGGAAAAACTGACATGTTAAAGAGATGGAGGGGAGCCTGGGTGGTGGCTCAGGCCTATAATCTTAGCACTCTGGGAGGCCAAGGCAGGAGGATTGCTCAAGTTCAGGAGTTCAAGACCAGCCTGAACAAGAGAGAGACCCTGTGTCTACTAAAAATAGAAAAAATTAGCCAAGTGTGGTGGCTTGGGGTGGGCCTAGAGTCCCAGCTACTCGGGAGGCTGAGGCAGGAGGATTGCTTGAGCCCAGGAGTTTGAGGTTGCTGTGAGCTACAATGATGCCACTGCCTTCTAGCCTGGGTGACAGAGTGAGGCTCTCTCAAATAGATGGAGATGGAGGGGAGAGTATCAGATTTCCCACCTGCCTGGGATGGTATTGGATGAAGGGATGCTCATGAGATGAAGGTGGTGACAGAAAAAGAGTGGCAGGTGGACATCAGGTTTTCATCATGTCGGCCTCCAACTCCTTCTTTAGAATTTTCTAACAGATTCACACCCAGAGCCTGGTGGCCCCCAGTTAGCCCAGATTCAAAAGGTGAACATCTGTTTGCACAATCTGATTCAGGGAAAGGTGAGTTTATTGTCTTCAGCTTAGAGTTTTGGGAAGTGGGACTATTGAGGGGAGGGTTGGGTTCAGCACTAGTTTAACAGAAAACAGCAAATCTCCCCTCAGTTCTCCCTATGTCCACTGAACAAGGCCAGTTCCTGTGCCCCCCAGGATTGGAAGGAAAGGCTATGGAAGAAAAATGTGTGGCAGCAACAGGTAAACTATAAAGGGGTCTGAGGGGAGGGCAGAAGCCCCCACACCACAAGGTACTGAGAGGCCCAGATGCCCAGTTCGTTACTCTCCTCTTCTCCAGGAGTTGTCAAGGCAGCAGAAAGGAGTCGCCCAGCTAAAGGAGAAGATGGCTCAGCTGGGCTGCTCCAAGGAACGAAGGGGCCCTACCCGTGTCTAAACCCTCCTCTCACTACCCTTAGTCTGGTGAAGGAGCAGGCTGAGTCAAAACTCCTAGCCTCCTTATTCTACTTCTTAACTCAGCAGCTAAATGGTTTCAGGTAGTGGGCCAATGAAGTTCAGACTTGGTGTAAAGTTTCTCCTTTGCTCCTGAAAACTTCCATTTCATCTTCTTGGTGTGCCATGCCCTCCCTCTGTCCTATATGATATGCAAAAATGATCTGTCTTTGAAATCCCTCTGGGTAGAAGACATGTTTATTGAAACTGTTCTTTATCCTTAAATATAAAAATAAAACAGAAACTTTTCCAGAATTTCACATAAAAACAATCTATAAATAACATTCTCTGATATCTTCCTACCTACTCCCAATGCTTGTCTCCTCCCCAGATATTTTCCCCTCTACCTGAGCCTAGGGGAGCATGAATAGTTAGTGGAATAAAGATGCTACAGACAAACTGAAAGGAACTTTTTCCAAAAATTCCTTTGGTTCATTTCCCACAGGATTAGGGAAAATGCACTGTGGGAAGATCCTCTGCCCTCTATCCTCATCTCGAAATTTTTAAGAAGGAGAAGGGACAAGTGCCTGAGAAGGAACACCTCTCCAGCTGGGAGAGATAAGGCCCAAGGCCCCTGTGACCTTACCAATGAGTCTGCTTGAAAATAGTGCTGGAGGCCGGGCATGGAGGCTCACACCTGTAATCCTAGCACTCTGGGAGGCCGAGGTGGGAGGATCGCTCAAAGTCAGGAGTTTGAAACCAACCTGAGCAAAAGTGAGACCCCGTCTCTACTGAAAATAGAAAGAAATTAATTAGGCAACTAAAAATATATAGAAAAAATTAGTGGGGCATGGTGGCACATGCCTGTCATCCCAACTACTCTGGAGGCTGAGGCAGGAGGATTGCTTGAACCCAGGAGTTTGAGGTTGCTGTGAGCTAGGCTGACGCCACGACACTCTACCCTGGGGAACAGATTGAGACTTTGTCTCAAAAAAAAAAAAAAGAAAATAGTGCTGAAGATCCATTCCCCTAGGGGCTATTGTGTCACCAGAATGCCAGGCTTAGCGGGAGCAGCCCCCCTCCAACTGTGCTCCACCAGGAGTTGCCAGCCATCCCCCCTACCAGCCCTGCCCTGAGTCACCAAAGCGAAGGGAGGGGGGGGGCGTGGTGAGGACAGGGCCAGGTGAGTGGGCAGGGCCAGCGAGCTGGTCCTAGAGGGAAGGAAAAAATGTCAGGGTGTGCTGGGGCTGTACCCAAATCAAGCCTACACGACCCTCCCCCTGCCTTGCCCACCCTGAGATGGAAAGTGGGGGCGCCTCACCTGCAGGGCTGGGGCCAGCACCAGGAGCTGGAGGAAAGCATGAGTCGGGGCATTGGGCAGGCTTCTTGACCCACCGCAGTCACAGTCACCAACACCACGGAGTCCGGGGCGGCTGAGTCCGGGACCTCCAGCCACAAGCGACCCCAGGCGGACTCATTCTGTCCCAGGCGAAACCTGGAGAGTGGACCCAGAAGTACTGCTGAAGTCTCAGGCAACCCGTAGCGCAGTGCCAGGGGCGGGGCCAGGGGCGGGGCGGCGAGCACTCGGAGGGCCAATCGGAAGGGTCCGGGGGCGTGGCTTGGGATAGAGAGCGTGGGCCCTAGACGAGCAGCGCTGGGAGAGCTGAAAGGTGTGGCCAGAGGGAGATAAGAGAGTTCTGGGAGGCCGGGCGCGGTGGCTGACGCCTGTAATCCTAGCACTCTGGGAGGCCGAGGCGGGCGGATTGCTCGAGGTCGGGAGTTCGAAACCAGCCTGAGCGAGACCCTGTCTCTACTAAAAATAGAAATAAATTAATTGACCAACTAAAAATATATATACAAAAAATTAGCCGGGCATGGTGGCGCATGCCTGTAGTCCCAGCTACTCGGGAGGCTGAGGCAGGAGGATCGCTTGAGCCCAGGAGATTGAGGTTGCTGTGAGCGAGGCTGACGCCACGGCACTCACTCTAGCCTGGGCAACAAAAGTGAGACTCTGTCTCAAAAAAAAAAAAAAAAGAGAGTTCTGGGGCCTCACCTGGACAGACTGGAGGTGAGGGCGAAGCTGGGGCTCACTGACGTCGTAAGGTCAAGATCCTGAGGGCCCCAGAAGCTGGCGATGCGGAGGCTGAGCATGACCTTGCCGCCCGGGGTCAAGAAACCTGGGGGGCCACTGAGCTGTGGAGAAGGGCCGGTCAGGGCAGGGCCCCAGCTCTTTCCAGCCTCAGCCGCACCTTCCCCTTGCATCTCACCTCCAGAAGGACGGGGACCACAGTGCAAGGCTGAGGGGCTACCCTGTGCAGACTCCGCCCAGCTCTGTCCTGCCCAAGCAGCTCCAGGGAGAAGGGCCCAGGGGTGGACAGCAGCGTGGGTGGCAGCGAGGCCGCGAGGAGTCCTCGCTCCGGGGGTCCCATGGGCTCCAAAGGCACCCGGCCTAGTTCGGCGCCCTCCAGGACCCCTGGAAGGATGACGTAGGAGAAATGCGGCCAAGGATCCCCAGAATTGCCTCTGGGTCCCAACCCTGTCACTTCTACCAGCAGCTGGGTCCGGAGACCTGAGACAAGGGAAGGGAGGGGGACACAGTGGTCTGCGTGAGATTCAGAGACACGGGGGAAAAGAATGCATGGCGTTCAGAACAGGGCTTACATCTGGGGACATGGATGGGGAAAGCAGTTCCTGAGGGGTGTTGGTGGACAGCAGCAGGAGGGGGCCCAGGGTGCGGGAAATGTTCTGTATCTTGAACTGGCTACGTGGGTGTGTTATATGAAATGCACCAAGCAGTATACTTAAGTTTAGGGTACTTTACTATAAGTAAATTATAAGTCAATAAAAAGGGCATATATAGACATGCATATATGTATACATATATATAAAACTAATGAGCTGGGGGGGGAGGGTCGGGAGATGGACATACCAGCAACTGCCTGAGTCAGGGGGTAGAGGCCAGGGTGGGGTCCATCCTCCATGGGGATCCCAAAATGGAAGAGGAAGTCCAGGGAGGTCTGGGCTGGGAGAGACCAAAGGCAGGCAGAGACTTTCCCCAAAGGAATGTGAGTGATGCTGCTCTCTGAGGCCTGCAGTCGCCCCGCCCCTTCCCAGGAATACCTCCCTCCTTACCTTGCACTGGCATCCAGGGGGTGCCCTCAGCTGTGACCTGGATCTCCCAGGTTCCTGTCTGTGGGGGTTATTCATGTTCACCATCTAGAACTGTCCAAAGTGGTGAGTGTGACCTAGAGGACCCACACCTTCCTCCTGGCCCTGGGAGATCCCTGGGGTCAGGGCAAGAGATTGTTACATGAAATGATTCCTTTCCCTTAGTATGCCTCCCCATTGTCCATCCCCCATTCATCCCCTGCCTTGACACGCAGGGAGGTACCTGAAGGGTTCTTGATCCAGAAGCTGCTGATGTCCCCATGGATCCGGACTGTGACCTTCTGGGGCAGCCCATCCACACTGAACACCAGTGGCCTCCCAGACACCACAATAGGAGGGTCCAGTGGAAGAGTCACCTTAGGGGATGGGCAGGATCCAAAAATAAAGGAAAAGACAAGATATGGAATGAGGTGGGAACAAAGGTAGGAGAAAGGCAGAGACAGAAAGAAACCAACGCACATATGGAGAAGGGACACCAGCAAGAGGGGGGCCCATGGCCAGGGATAGAGTTTTATGGTTAATGACAAAGCTGAAAGCAAAGGATTCAATATGAGGCAATCACTTCTTGTCCCCCCTTAAAAGATGGCAGGACTTTCTATGGCAGCCCTGAGGGTAGAATACTGGAGGCCAAGGTTGGGGAGGGCTTTACTAATATGGAAAGACAACTTGGAAGGTGGGTAGCCATGGATCTCAGAGGGAGAGCAACTTCTTTCCCACCCATGTGACCGGAATAGCAACACAGCAATAGGATCCATTCCCCCTTCTCCAACAAGAAGAGAGACACAGTGTTACCACCCTGTAGCTCTGAACAGAGGGTCCCAGCCCCTGTGGCCCCGAGTACTCACCATGGCAGCCATGCTCTCCCCAACAATGGCTGCCACGTCCTGAATATGCTGGTCTTCGGTGAAGATCACCTCTCCTCCTGAGGCTAGGGCCACTGCTTCATATGGTTCAAAATGCAGAGGGGACAAGACTTTGCACCGAGCTCGTGCCTGACCCCTCGATGGGTCTTCAGTCACCAGGAATGTTACCTATGGCCAGAAGAGAGCCCAGGGTATCCGAGTGCTGTCTACTGTTAGAACGAGGGTCCCAGTGCTCAAGTTTTCTTCAGAGCTTACGATTAGCAATAAGGTCTCTGTTTACCCTCTGGCTGCTACAGCAGGGTTTCCCAGCGACACACTCGCTGGCCTGCAGTTAGCCATTGGTCACCCCCTTGCAACTGTCAATATTTCGCAGTGGATTTTTGGCAACTAGATCTCCAGCTCTTCAAATGGTTTATGGGGCAGGTCCAAATATAAACTCAGCATCATTAAGGGTAGGGCCTCCCATGTGTGAGTGTTATTAAGGGTATGAGAAAATGTCATGTTTATTGTCTACTTCTCCCATCACACGCCAAGGCTGGTTGGGCCACCGTAGCGTGGTGTGACCCTTGTTATGCGACTGTCGCCACGGGGTCTCCCATATCCCTAGGTGGCTAACACTGGATCTCCCACAGCTATGCTCACCCTGCAGCGCCGCTCCTGAGCCAGGGGTTCCACCTGGTTGGTGAGAAAGGCATCCTTGGGGGAGGCATCTGTAAATACAAAGATGTCTGAGAATGGAGGCGTGTGCAGCAGGGCCAGCTGGCAGAGAGGGAAAGGGCCAGTGTTAAAAGTGGCAATGGCAGGGGAATGAGTAGAGCTGGGGGGACAGAGCAGAAAGGAATATGGCCCTGGAACCCTGAATGAAGCTAGTGAAACTATTAAATAGGTTCTAGAGGCAGAGGGGTCAGAGTGGGAGATGAGGAGCCTAGGAAGGCTCTAGCTCTCCCTAGCGGACACCTGGGGGATAAGCGGGGAAGGCGAAGGGAGACGCCAGACCTGCAGCGCCGACGGGCACATCTCAGGCTCGTCTCCGCCCCCTAAGGCTCCGCCCCTAAGGCTCCGCCCCTAAGGCTCCGCCCCTAAGGCTCCGCCCCTAAGGCTCCGCCCCTAAGGCTCCGCCCCCTAAGGCTCCGCCCCCTAAGGCGTGGATCTCACTGAGTTGTTGCCAGAAGCTGTCAGGGTCACTGGTTGTAAAGACAGGATTGAACCCTGGGGAGGGGAAATGAGTGAGGAAAGTGCTCCCCTCATTCCTCCCCAGTGGGAGGCCTACTGTGCTCCCGCGTGGACAAGTAGTTTTTTCTTTTTCTAAGGCAAGTACCAACTTGAGGTTTATTGAGAGGAAGATAGGAGTATAGAGCAAGAGCAAGATGCAGGTTTACAGAATGTGACAGACACACAGCAGATGACACCGTCGCAGGTACCCAGAAGAGGCTCCCTCAGGACCATAGGAAGTGCCCCAGTTTTGTTTAGCAAGTGGAGTCTCAAGGCCCACTTCCTCATCAGAGGCCTTTATCCCCTGCCCTGGACTTCCCTTCCCTTCGCAGCCACCTGGGTCACGGAAAGGCACCAGGACATAGTGGGTAGGCTCCGTGGGGCTGCCCCGCCGCTGCCCCACGATGCAGGAGCCTGGGTGTTAGCAGCGTCGATCTCCTCGCCCATACTGCCTGTGGTGTCCAGACGAAGCTCAGGCTGGAGGCTGGGGTGATGTCCAGCAGCCTGGGGGCAGAGCGCAGTGAAGCGCCTGCACGTCCGCCCCAGCCCCTGGTTTCTCAGCTCCCCCAGGAGCACCTACTCACCTGCAGGAGGCCACTCACCTGCCGAAAGCCCAGTCCCCCAGGCGGCTTCGCAGCAGGTTGAAGGCCTGGATGGAGGCCAGAAGGGCCAGTTTTGCAGCCTGGAGGTGCAGCATGTGGTGGGGGGAGAAGCCTGGGGATGTGCTGTCCTTGTTGATGCCCCCCAGGGCGGCTGGGAGCTGCTCCGGTCAAAATGGCCCCCATGGCTACATTTCCCTGGGATGGGGACAGGGGTCTGGAGAGCGGGAGGCCAAAAGCCCACTGCTTCCTACGCAACAGGGGCCCTTTCTGACCTGGCCTGTCCCTCTCACCCCTCAGCAAAGGAGCAGCAGAAAATGATGACACTCTGTGGAGGGTAGTCATCACAGCACACGGTGGATCCCTGATCCGCCAGCCAGGCCCCGAGGCTGCCCACAGCAGTGGAGAATCCTATCAGCTGAGCCAGAAGCTGCCCCCACCCCAGCGCTTAGGCCCTCTCCCCACCCTGCCTTCCTCCCCCCACCTCTAGGAAGGAGTGCCCCGGCACACGGGACACAGCCTACAGGACTGAGGTCCTGCATGGGATAGAAGGCAGTGACTTTCTCCCTTGCCTTCTGGGGAGCTTTCCTGCCTGGTAGCTGGAGGTTTGGAAGAATGAGTTCCAAAGTAGCCCGAGGTGAGCTGAGTGAAGCCCAGCCAGTTCCCAGGGCAGCTCAAGCCCTCACAACCGGAGCAGGTGGGGTCGCCTGCCCATTGGAGAGAGAGGGCAGGTGGCTGGAACCCGAGACTCTGCTACCCTGGCCTTTGTCCCTGTCCACCCAAACTTCTTCAGCTTTTCCTCCCCGCTGGGACAGGGCTAAAGCTCATGGGCACCTGGGCAAGCTTTTGGAACCAAAACCTAGGATTCATGGGCTAGCGGTGAGACTGAATACTTGCAATTGGGATTGGGCTAGAAAACCAGGGAAGGTGGGGCCCAATCCTCCAGGGACTGTGGACAGGATGCGAACCTATAATGGACGGGGACAGCTCCTGGTCCTAGTTTGGTCAGCAGGATGAGGGGACTGTGAGAGAAGGCCCGTGTGAGCCAGTGGTGGGGGAAGCCGCATGAAAGACTTGACTGAGGTCTGGAGACCTGGTCCTGCTCCTCTCCCCTGTGTGACCTTGGGGAAGCCACTTAACTGCCCTGGCCTTTGGTTGCACTGGGGGACCTCACAGTCCTTGCAGAGATGACCTATGTGACCTCAGGATGTGACACGGTGGCTGGGTGGACGGAGGAGGTGGCTCTGTGGGCTCCACCCACCACTGGAGTCCTGGCGTACCTTGTGCCAAGCTCTTGGAGCTCGGGCCTGGGCCAGAGGAGGTGAGGGTGTGGCTGCTGCTTGCCCAGTCCCACCCAGCTGCTGTGACTGTAGAAATCCTGGACCCAGGACAGGAGAGTGGAATCGGCACTAGTCTGACTGTTCTCACCATCCCTTTCCCTGATGTGCCTCCAAGTTCCCCACCCAGAAAGTCTCCCAGCCCCGCTGCTCCTGTCAGACACCCCACGTCCCCTCTGCTGCCCTCTGCTCTGCCCCAGCAGAGCTTTGCCAAATGGGAATGTCCCGGAGTCTCTGCCCACATCACTCAGAGTCTAACCATCTAACTGAAGGCCTCTCGGCAGCTATAGGGCCCTACACGAAGTACTACTCCCTCCCCTCCCCTGTCCCCACTTTGCCTTCCTTCCTCCTTGCTCCCCCTCCCCCTCTCCAGCCAAGCACCCTCCTTGCTGTTCCCACAGGAGGCACTGGCGGTGGAGGTGGGGAGCTGGGATGGGCCTAGCAAGCAATGCAGTCCCTCTTGGAGGAGGGGCACAACTAAGGCCTCCATCCCAGACAGGAGACCAGAGGTGAAGGCCCCTCTGATCATTGCCCCAACTCTGTTGTCACCTGCAAGGCATGAAGCGCAGCCCCAAGGCGCTGGCGGGCCAGACTGTGGTCAAGGGCTCTGGCTGCCACCAGGGTCTCCCGCAGGCACACAGTGCAGGTCAGGGCTGCTCTAGAGGTCGGCAGGAAGTCCTGGGCTGCACTGGCAGGAGACACCTCACCTAAGGCTGCTCGGAAGCGCCGAGAAGGAGACCCGGGTCCAAAGTAGGCAGCAAAGAGGTCATTGGCAAGGAGGGTCCTGCCCTGGAGAGAATGGTGGGGACAAGGGCTCCAGGGAAGCCCCTTGCACTGGACCGTAGCCAGCATCGACTTAGCAACTGCACTGGTGCCACGTGTGGGCAGAACCGAGGTGCTGAGCCCAGCTGGGGGGGCAGTCCTGGCCCTTTCTAAGGGGGGCTCCTGAGCTCAGAGCCAGGACCACCAAGTATTGCTGCTGCGGGGGTGGGGGGTGGTGAGCAGGTGGGGGAGTGGGTATCCCTTCTCTTGGCAACCAGAGACCTCAAGGAGGTCTTGGGAATTGGGGAATCTGGCAGGGAAGTGACAGGACCCAGCGATGCTCACCAGGAAGTCCTTAAGACGCAGGAGGGGCCGGCAGGGGGTGGCTGCCCCAGGAAGAGCTGCAATGTTGAGTGCTGCATCCTCAGTGAGGTCCTGGTGGGTGATGGAGCCAGGGGCAGCGGCCAACAGGCTCCAGATGTTGGGGAAGAAGACAGATGTGGGAGGCAGCAGCAGCTGCAGCAGAAGCAGTGCTGAGGGTGCAGGAGGGGTGGGGGCACTTCTGCGCAGAGCATGGCTGAGGCGGGGCCTGGGAGACAGAAGGCTCTCGAGGGAGGAAGCAGCAGCGACTCCAGGGCAGGTCTGGCTCTGGCGTCTCCATGGCCACCTGCTTTGCCTCAAACACCTTGTCTGTTCCGGCCTGGCTTCCCTGCCCCTACTCAGTCACCCAACCAACCAGGGGCCCTTATCAGGCCAACAGGGACATGCACCTGCTAGGAGTGGGGTCCAAGGCTTCTCCCCCAACACCCCCCACGCAGGAAGTCTGAGTCTCTCCTCTCAGGCCTCTCCCTACCTGGTTGCTGGGTCTCCTGGGCATCGCAGGGCACTTAGGTAAGAGTTATAATTACCTGGGACTCAATGGAGGGGGAGGGAGGCCCCAGCAGGGAGGGGGCAGGACAGGCAACTCCTGGCCCCTCTGCTCATCCCTGTCCAAGGCCACAAGCAGCAGCCACTGCCAGGGTGGACTTCCTTCACGCAGTGTGGAGGTGGGTGAGAACTGGGAAGGAAGGAGGCGAGCGGTGTGGCTCAGGCCTGGCACAGTGCCAGGGACAGGCCCAGACATATGCGCCCCTCTGCACCCTAGGACCAGGGCCTCAGTCCCAGCCTGCAGCCCCCGAACCGCCCACACAGGCAGCCTCCAAGGACTCCGGAACACAGCCCTCTGCACCCCTCCCCATCCCCACTACAGACAGACATGATTTTGTGGCAAAATATTTTATTGCTGCCATCCCCATGGTGGACTGCTGGGGGCTATGAGGGCTGCAATCACAGCATCTTCTGAAACAGGGCAATGGCCTCGTCCACCTTCCTGAGCTCTGCTTCTGTCTGCTGGAGCTGGAACAGGGGGGCCAGGGGTGGGGGGTGAGGACCCAGGCCCAAGCAAGGAGACCCTGAAACACCCAGGATGGCAAAGTTTGAAAGGCGGGTGAGGCCTGTGAGAAGGGCGGAATTTGGGAGAATGTGTGCTTGGCTGGCCCTGCCCTCAGTTCTCACCAACCTTCCCACCAATACCCCCTCTTCCACAGAGTGGTCAGTCCCCAAGGACAAAGGGCCTTAATTTCATTGTAAGAATGTATAAGAAAAAAACAAAGAACAAACATTAAAAAAGAAGGGGCCTCAGAGCCCAAGTGCCCTGCCTTGTGCCTGACCAGGAAGGAGAGCACAGGCCCCGGGCAAGCCACTCAGCTTTCCTGTGTAAAATGAAGATGACACTACTCGAGGGCTACTGGGGCAACCACGTCCACTCAAGAATCTTACTCTGGGCCTCCACGCCTGTTTCCCTGTGTCTGTGCAGCTCCCCACACTGCTCCTCCCTGGAGGAGCCCAGGAGGCTGGGGGCCTGCGGGGCAGGGCGCAAGGAGGCAAGCTGGGTCTTCTAGGGCCAGCCCAGTGGGCTGGGAAGGGAGCGCCAGAGCCAAGGCCCCTGACCGTCGTGTGGGTTTCCCTGTTCTGCACAGCTGGTCTGGCTAGGAGGCAGGATGCCTGGGTCTAGGTTGGCTTCTGTCTCCAACCTGTCATCTGAGTCTGGGCTGTGTCCCCATCCCTGGCTAGTCCCATCTTGGGGTGGGGGCAGTGAGGGAAGGCCATTGCATGGTCCCTGCTCGAGGGGCCTGGGCTCCACGCTCCCCTATGGACACCGCAGGGCTCAGTATAGGGTCCAGCTTCCAGATCAGGGTTTTTATTTTTGAGACAGAGTCTCATTTTGTCGCCTGGGCTAGAGTGTCTGGCATCAGCCTAGCTCACAGCAACCTCCAACTCCTGGGCTCAATGATCCTTCTGCCTCAGCCTCCCGAGTAGCTGGGTCTACAGGCATGCGCCACCATGCCCGGCTAGTTTTTTTATTTTTAGTAGAGACGGGGAGCCGCTCTTGCTCAGGCTGGTCCTGAACTCCTGAGCTCAAACGATCCGCCCGGCTCAGCCTCCCAGAGTGCTAGGATTACAGGCGTGAGCCAGGGGTTTGATGGAGGGGCGGATGGTGTGGGAAATGCCCCTCGCACCACACACCTTTGCTTCGTCTGCCTCCTGGACTTCCAGGGGCACCTTGACCGGGTAGCCGGAGGCGGCGCGCCGTTCCCGCAGACGCTGGGCCTGCCGCTGCGCCTCACCTCTCTTGGCCTGCAGCTTGCCCAGCTCCCGGGCCGGGTCCACCAGTCCCTGCAGCTGCAGGTGGATGGAGCAGCGGTCAGAGGCCAGGGCCACAGCGCAGCCCTGTGGCACGGGAGCCCCCAGGGCCAGGACAGCCACCACACCCGTGCTGGCCAGCGCGTGCACGTAGCCTGACACAGCCGATGCCAGGGTGCCTGTGGCCTCATCAGCCACTTCCAGGAAACCTGTGGGCAGGGAGGACGGTGAGGTGGGAGACTGGGCAGCCACAGCCGGATACTGGGTCCCAGAGTGGGCCGAGGGGATGGTGGGACGGGTGGACGTGGGGGCCTGAGGCTCACAGTCGGGCCGGATCCGGGTGAGGTTGTAGTCGGCACGCAGGGAGCGGACGACTCGAGCAATGCTTAGTGCCAGCTCCAGGGCGGCTTCCGCCTCAGGGTCCTTCCAGGAGCACTGTGGGACGGAGGACAGGGTGAGGGGCCTAGGAGGGCAGGCAGAGTCCCCCTTCTAGGCTGCACCCCATACCTCTGAGGGCTCCGGGTAGGGAGTAACGCAGAGGCTAGCAGGAGCTTGGGGCGTCCTCCGAGGCAGCCTCTGGAACAGCTCCTCCGTCACGAAGGGCATGAAGGGTGACAGCAGCCGCAAGCCGACGTCCAGGCAGGTGTAGAGGGTCTGGCGGGCACACTCGGCCGCCACCTGGTCTGCCCCATTCAGTATAGGCTTCAGGCATTCCTAGGGCATGGAGGCACAGGGCTCAGGCAGAACTGGAAGTCTAGCCTCAGCCCTCAGTGAGCACATGAGGGCCAGGAAGGGACGGGTTGGCTCAGGGCTCATGGCCAAGCCCGGCAAAGCGGGGCCCAGGGCCCGGCCATCCTCTCCCGGACCCCTCCTCTCGCCTGCTTCTCACCAAGTAGACGTCACAGAGTTCATAGAGCCAGAAGCTGTACTGGGCAGTGGTGACAGCTGGGAAGTCGTAGGCCTGGAAACCTTGGTTGCTGAGCCGCACGGCTTCAGTCAGCCGGCTGAGGATCCAGCGGTCCACCAGGCTCTCGCGGCCTCCAGGCTGGGGAGAGAGGGGCATCAGCCAGCGGGCCCTGGGGAGGCGCTGGGAACTGTGGGCGAGTTCGCACCAGGAGTCTGATGGGGGCCAAAGCAACCGAGCATGTGCCCCGTGTCAGGGGGACAAGGGACAGGCCCCAGCCACCTCGAGGAGGACCCCAATGCCCTGGGCTTTGCCTGTGTCTATCTGTCCCTCCAGCTGCATGGAGGCCCGCAGGGTGGGGGCAGCCTGTGTGGGTGCTGCCAACCTTGCCGCCCACCAGGCCTTACCGTGGAGGTGGGTGAGGGCACGAAACCCTTCCCAAGGCCGCGCAGAGCAAACTTGGTGGCATTCCAGAGCTTGTTGCAGAAGTGGCGGTAACCCAATATCCGGTTCACATCCAGGTTGATGTCACGACCTGGGTGGGCAGTGGAGTGCACCGTTGTTGCCGTCAGCCCACGCCTACCAGAGGCCAGGGCAGAGGGGAGGTTTGGGGGCCATACCCTGGGACGTGTAGGCGCACAGCCCAAACCGGAGAGCATCGGTGCCACACTCAGGAATCCCCGCCGGGAAGTCCGCCTTCTGTAGGGAGGAGGACGCAGAGTGGGAATGTCCTCAGCCCGGCCTGACCTTTCCCTCACACTCTACCCAGTCCCACCCTCAGTACCTGCCCTTCTTTGGCCTTTTCCACCTCGCTGGGATCCAGGTTGCTATTCAGTAACTGGTCATGGAGGCCCTGAGGGCGGAGGTGGGAGTGGTCAGGTGGCCATGGCCACGGCCCCACAGCCCTTCCTGGCTGGCCTAGCGCCCGGCCCCACCTGCAGGGAGACTCCGTGGATGACATCCAGGGGGTCGATGACGTTGCCTAGAGACTTGCTCATCTTCCGGCCGTGAGCGTCCCGCACGATGGCGTGGAGGTAGACCTGCAAGGCAGGTGGGGGAAGGTCCATGAGGCCGAGTCCCCTCCTTCCCTGGCCTCAGTGCCCCTCAACCAGGGCCCGGTATTCGACCTGCCCCACTCTAAACCTCAGGGCCCGCCCAGTGTCCACACAAGCCAGTTGGCCCCTGTACATGAGTCAGAAGCGCTCCAGCTCCAGGAAGACACAGCCCCGGGCCAGGGCACGGGAGTCACAGAGTGCAGCGGGGCTGGCCTGTCGGCGCCCAGGAAGTGGAGGGGATGGTGGGGGGCTTCGCTGTGTTCGCACCTCTCTGAAGGGCAGCCTGCCAGTGAGCTTCAGGCCGAGCATGACCATCCGGGCCACCCAGAAGAAGAGGATGTCGTGGCCTGTCTCCAGCAGTGTCCCCGGGTAGAACACGCTCAGATCTTCTGACTGGGGGCAGACCAGGTGTGAAGGGGAGCCTAGCACCCACCTTCGCGGCCCCACCCCCAGGCCTGGCCCCAGAGCACACCTGGTTGGGCCAGCCCAAGATAGAGAAGGGGAAGAGGCCGGAGGAGAACCAGGTGTCCAATACGTCCTCGTCTGAGGGAGGCCAAAGGTCAGAAGTTAGACGAGGTGGAGCTAACATAAGAGCCCCAGCTCTGCACCCACCATGCCTAAGGCCCCGCCTTGCCTTGCTGGAGACTGATCTTGTCAGGGGCCACTCCAAACTCCTTGGCTGCCTTCTCCCGGGCCTCCACCTCGTTGCGTCCGCTCACCCAGTAACGCTCGTCAGGGTCCTGCCATGGTAGCATGAGCACTGAGGGGTGCCTCGTGTGTGCCTTGTCCTCCCCTTCCCCCCACCAAGGACCCAGTAACCCCCACGCTCCCCTAGATGTCCCAGCATCCAGCTCTGGCCATGTTCTCACCTCCCCAGGGGGTACTGCTGGGTCATCGACGGTGACGAAGTAGGCTGGGATGCGATGGCCCCACCACAGCTGCCGGGAAATGCACCAGTCCCTGCAAATATGGGGGCAGGTGATCACGGAGGACCTGGAGGGGTCCCGGCCTGTGCCTTATTCGCCCCTAGCCCAGGCCCCTCCTACGCACCGGATGTTGTCCATCCAGGCATGCCATGTCCGTCGATGGGCCTCAGGCAAGATGCAGAGGTCACCCCGGGTGACAGCGGCGCTGGCGGCCTGGGCCATCTCCCCACAGTGCACGTACCACTGTGGCCGCAGCAGAGGCTCCACCACGTCCTTAGACCGGCTGGGGGGACACGTGGGGGGGTCAGGTGGTGAACACCTTGAGGAGCACCCCTGTCTCACCACCCTCCCTGGCCCCCACCCTCACTTGCACAGTGGCACCACCATGGGGTTGTCCTTGATGCCACGAAACAGTCCCCGATCTTTCAATGCTGCCAGCACCACCTTCCTGGCCTCAAACCTGGGCAGACCCTGGGTACGAAAGAGGCCTCGTGATGGCAATGCCTGGGTGCTCCCCATCTCCCAATCTGGGCTCACGCCCCAGCTGCCTCACCAGGAAGGGTGGGGGCACGTTGACAAGAGCCCCACGGGCGTCCATGATGCTCACAGCCTCCAGCCCGTGCCGCTGCCCAACCTCATAGTCGTTCTGGTCGTGTGCTGGGGTGATCTTCACCGCACCTGGGGTGTGGGGGTCACGAGGGACTTGCAGAGTTCCTCCCCACACTCACCTCTCTTGCTGAAGGATGTGGCTCCAGACCACCCTGGCCCTACTTCCCTAATATGGTACCCTGAGAACCAGCCCAAGTCCTGCCTATTTGGCTGAAGCCTATTTTCTTTTTCTTTTTTGAGATAGGGTCTCACTATCACCCAGGCTAGAGTGCCGTGGCATCAGCCTAGCTCACAGCAACCTCAAACTCCTGGGCTCAAGCAATCCTGCTGCCTCAGCCTCCCAAGTAGCTGGGACCACAGGCATGTGGCACCATGCCCGGCTAATTTTTTTCTATATTTTTAGTTGGCCAATTAATTTGTTTCTATTTATAGTAGAGACGGGGTCTCGCTCTTGCTCAGGCTGGTTTCAAACTCCTGACCTTGAGCAACCCACCCTCCTCAGCTTCCTAGAGTGCTAGGATTACAGGCGTGAGCCAAGCGCCTGGCCTGAAACCTATTTTCTTTCTCTCTGAGAGCAAAGATAAGCGGCTGGGGTGGCAGTCCCCTGCTGTCCCCAGGGGCCAGCCCTGTGCTCACCTGTGCCAAACTCCATGTCCACAAATTCATCAAAGACAATGGGGAGGCTGCGAGGCAGGAACGGGTGGGCCACGCTTTTCCCCTTCAGGTGCTGGGGTGCAGGGAGACGTCAGAAGTGCTCAGCCCAAGTCCCCCCTTTCCAGGGTCCTGACTGACCCAACACCAAACTCCCCCAAATGGTCCCAATGCCTTCACCCTCAGAGCTGGGAAAGGAGCCAGAAGATGAGTTTCTACCCAATTTCCTCTCCTCAGCCAGTAGCCTCAGACTCTACCCACCCCGAGCCCCTAAAGTGTGGGGGCCCTTTTCAGCCAGTGTTCTTCCCCAACCTGGTATCTGGGATCTTTAGGGTGCACAGCTACAGCCACATCTCCCAGCATTGTCTCGATCCGAGTTGTTGCCACCACCACCTCCTCGTTGCTGTCTGGGGTGACAGAAGGCCTCGTGGTCTCAGCCCTGGCCCCTCCCTGCCCCCAACCCAGCCCAGGACCTGTGTGCCCTGGCTCCCACCTGAGCCTTGGACCTTGTAGGCAAAGGACACAAGGACCCCAAACTCCACCTTCTCCTTGTAGCCAGGCACAGAGAGCAGCGTGCGACCTGTTAGCTCCTTCTTGTCCACCTATAAGATGGGTGCTTAGAAAAGTGGCCCAGGGACCAGGGCTGGGGGTAGAATGGAGATGGAGACAGGTCAGTGTGGCGGCACACCTCAATGTCAGAGATGGCGGAGTTGAGGGTGCAGGACCAGTTGACGAGGCGGGTACTGCGGTAGATGACGCCTTCCTCGTGAAGCCGGACAAAAGCCTCGGTCACGGCCGCAGAGAGTTTCTGGGTGCAGCAGGGGAAGTCAGAGAGAGGGGCCTTGGTGCCCGGGGCCAGGCAGATACCCGAGGCAGCAGGGCCCCATGATGCCTGTTCTGTCCAGAGTCCCATCGGCCAGCACACAGACCCCTTTGAGGGGAGAATTACTTTCCTTGAGGGGAAGAGGAGACTATGGAAACACAGGGGCAGGCAACACAAGCTTCGAGATGCTGGACATGGCAGGGAAGTTGCTCAGCTGGGGACAGGTGCTGACAGAGAATCCTGGGAGTTCAGGTCCCACCGGAGGGGGGCCTGTCACACACTGCCTGGAGGGTTTGGAGCCGCCAGAGCGGGGATGGGGAATACACAGGGCCATGGCGTGGGGTAGGGAGTGCAGGTGAGCCCTAGGTGGTGTCCTGCGAGTGGGCTCAGCTCCTGGGGAAGAGTCTGCCCCTCCTGCCCAGGCCCCAGACCTCCCCCACGCACAGGGTCCATGGTGAAACAGGCTCGATCCCAGTCCAAGGAGCTGCCAAGCTTCTTTAACTGGTGGTAAATCCGGTCACCTTTCCTGGAAGTGGACAGACAGGCCAGGGTCAGCACTCAGGCCTGGGCTGGAGGGAGGCGTTGGGTGGGTGATGGGCAGTGTGGGAATCATTCAGCCCTCTGAAATTTACCCAGGCCTGGAGCCAACTGACATTCCGCCTCTCTGAGTGGGATCTGACCCTATAGCTAGGGGTCACTGGTGAAAGAGGTATTTTCTGGACAGGAGACAGGAGGCAGGGCTGCTGCATACTCACTCCTCCTTCCACTTCCAGACCTCCTGTAGAAAGGCCTCTCGGCCCAGCTGATGCCGGCTCAGCCCCTGCTCGCGCCACAGTTTCTTCTCCACCACCACCTGGGTGGCGATGCCCGCATGGTCACAGCCAGGGTTCCACAGGGTGGTCTCACCTCGCATGCGGTGCCTACGGGAGGGGTGTGGAGGACAGAGGGTGACCGAGCTGGCAGAGCCTGGCACCAAAGGAAGCAGAGGCTTCTGCAGGGAGTCAGTGGACTCTCCAGAAAGAAGTGAAGTAGGTGGAGCTAGAACCTGTTGATTATAAAACTAGTCGGCCCGGGCGCAGTGGCTCACACCTGTAATCCTAGCACTTGGGGAGGCCAAGGTGGGAGGATCGCTCAAGGTAAGGAGTTCGAAACCAGCCTGAGCAAGAGTTAGACCCCGTCTCTACTAAAAATAGAAAGACATTAATTGGCCAACTAATATATATAGAAAAAATTAGCTGGGCATGGTGGCGCATGCCTGTAGTCCCAGCTACTCGGGAGGCAGGAGGATGGCTTGAGCCCAGGAGTTTGAGGTTGCTGTGAGGTAGGCTGACGCCACAGCACTCTAGCCCTGGCAACAGAGTGAGACTGTCTAAACAAATAAAACCAAAAACAAAACGCAGTGACACTATATTGCTACATTATTTTAAATGACTCATAACATAGTACATATTCATTACTTCATAGGTCTGTTTATCCTACTATGTTCAGACCTCAAGGACAGAGACTGTAGCAACTCTATTCCCTTGAAGAGAATAGATATTCACGGAACTGGCTTATACACCAATACCACGAGGACAGAAACATGTTTTATGAATTCCATGATGCTGTTAGGTATTACTATTAGAGAAGTGAGGCATAAGAAATCTTATTAAGAAGTTAAGATCAAATTCCTGTTTCACTAAAAGTATCTCTTGGGGCTCAGATAAACTTAAAAAAAAAATCAATAAAATGTCAGAGACATTTGTTGAAAATTCTCTGCTTCAAAAAGTAAAAAGGAAACAGGCTGGGGCGTGGTGGCTCACACCTGTAATCATAGCACTCCAGGAGGCCAAGGGGGGAGGATGGCTTGAGCTCAGGAGTTCCAGACCAGCCTGAGTAAGAGTGAGACCCCATCTGTACTAAAAATAGAAAAAATTAGCCAGGTGTGGTGGTGCGCATCTGTAGTTCCAGCTACTCGAGAAGCTGAGGCAGAAGGATTGCTTTAGCCCAGGAGTCTGAGGTTGCTGTGAACTAGGGTGATCCCACGGCACTCTAGCCCTGGTGACAGAGCAAGACTGTCTTAAAAAAAAAAAGAAAGAAAGAAAAAAGGAAATAATACATACAACTCATTGTCATTTCACTTTTTACTCTAAAACATTGATGTAAATCCATTCAATTAATCAGACTTTCCGACAATGGGAAAAAGTTTCTACCTTAAGATTTTTTTTTTTTACTCTGTTGTCCAGGCTAGAGTGCCATGGTGTCAGCCTAGCTCACAGCAACCTCAAACTCCTGGGCTCAATCGATCCTCCTGCCTCAACATCCTGAATAGCCAGGACTATAGGCATGCGCCACCATGCCCAGCTAATTTTTTCTATATATCTTAGTTGGCCAATTGATTTCTATTTTTTTTTTTTTTTTTTGAGACAGAGTCTCACGTTGTTGCCTAGGCTAGAGTGAGTGCCATGGCGTCAGCCTAGCTCACAGCAACCTCAAACTCCTGGGCTCAGGCAATCCTCCTGCCTCAGCCTCCCGAGTAGCTGGGAATACAGGCATGCGCCATCATGCCCGGCTAATTTTTTCTGTATGTCTTAGTTGGCCAATTGATTTCTTTCTATTTATAGTAGAGACAGGGTCTTGCTCTTGCTCAAGCTGGTTTTGAACTCCTGACCTCGAGTGATCCTTCCGCCTCGGCCTCCCAGAGTGCTAGTATTACAAGCGTGAGCCACTGCTCCTGGCCTCTAACTTAAGATTTTTATTTTAATTATTTATTTATTTATTTATTTATTGAGACAGAGTCTCACTTTGTTGCCCAGGTTAGAGCGAGTGCCATGGTGTCACCCTAGCTCACAGCAACCTCAAACTCCTGGGCTCAAGAGATCCTTCTGATACATGCTACAACATGGATGAACCATGAAAACATGCCAAGGGGGAAAAAATAGACATAAGAGGTCACATATTATATAAGTCCCAAAATATCCACAGAGTAAGGTAAATCCATAGAAACAAAAAGCAAATTGGGGTGGTTGCCAGAGGCTGAGAAAGATAAACTTGGGGAGTGACTGTTTAATGGGCATAGAGTTTTCTTCAGCGGTAATGGACATTTTTTTTAATTTTGGTGGTTGTACAGTTTTGTGAAAGTACTAACTGCTACTGCATTGTATACTTTAAAATGATTATTAATATTGTGTAAATTAATATTAATATTTCACCTGAATAAAAAGACAAATAGATTTAAAAAGGATGGGGAAAAAAAAAAAAAGAGTTCCTTCTGCCTCAGCCTCCCGATTAGCTGGGACTACAGGCATGCGCCACCATGCCTGGCTAATTTTTTCTATATGTATTAGTTGACCAATTAATTTCTTTCTATTTTTAGTAGAGACAGGGTCTCACTCTTGCTCAGGCTGGTTTCGAACTCCTGAGCTTGAGCAATCCACCCGCCTCGGTATAACAGAGTGCTAGGATGACAGTCATGAGCCACCACACCCAGCCTGTAAGTGGTTTTAAAATACATTTTAAGGAAATTTGTCTCCTGACAAATTCGAACTCCTGACCTTGAGCAATCTGCCTGCCTCGGCCTCCCAGAGTGCTAGGATTACAGGCGTGAGCCACCACGCCTGGCCTACCTTAAGATTTTTATAAGCAGTGTTAATTCAGTTCTCATGTAAACAACTTGGCTAGGCCAAGCATGGTGACACATGCCTGTAGTCCCAGCTACTCAGGAGGCTGAGGCAGAAGGATTGCTTGAGCCCAGGAGTTTGAGGTTGCTGTGAGCTAAGCTGACGCCACCGCACGCTAGCCCGGGTTACAGAGTGAGAACCTGTCTCAAAAAAAAAAACTAAAACAACTTGGCTATTATATGTTATGTGTACTTAATATAACTGTTTTTCTAGCTCTTGGTTACTTGCAAAATGCTACATATTGTATCCCTAGTGCCCAGAACAGAGCCGCCACAGTCATGTTCCAGTAAACATTTTTTGATCAAATTAATTTGGTAGGACACTACAAAAATTCTCAAATTTTAAATATAATAAATAAACCCTAGTTTCCAAAAATGTAAGTGGTTTTTTTTTTTTTTTTTTTTTTAGACAGAGTCTCATTTTGTTGCCCAGGCTAGAGTGAGTGCCGTGGCGTCAGCCTAGCTCACAGCAACCTCACAATCCTGGGCTTAAGCAATCTTTCTGCCTGAGCTTCCCGAGTAGCTGGGACTACAGGCATGCGCCACTATGCCCGGCTAATTTTTTCTGTATATATTTTTAGTTGGCCAATTAATTTCTTTCTATTTATAGTAGAGACGGGGTCTCGCCCTTGCTCAGGCTGGTTTCGAACTCCTGAGCTTGAGCAATCCGCCCGCCTCGGTATAACAGAGTGCTAGGATGACAGTCATGAGCCACCACACTAGCCTGTAAGTGGTTTTAAAATACATTTTAAGGAAATTTGTCTCTACTAGGTGTGGTAGCTCATGCCTGTAATCCCAACACTTTGGCAGGATGGCTTGAGGCCAGGAATTAGAGACCAGCTTGGGCAACACAGTGAGACCCTATCTCTACAAAAAAAATATAAAAAATTAGCTGGGCATGGTATGTCTGTAGTTCCAGGAACTGGGGAGGCTGAAACAGAAGGATAGCTTGAGCCCAGGAGTTCGAGGCTACAGTGAACTATGATCATGCCACTGTACTCTCATTCTGCCTGGGTGACCCTGTCTCTTAATAGAAAAAAAAAAAATTAAAACAAAATCTGTCACCTAAAATATTAGACCTGTAGTTGTTACTAATTAAAACATTAGGCCGGGCGTGGTGGCTCATGCCTGTAATCCTAGCACTCTGGGAGGCTGAGGCGGGCAGATCGCTCGAGGTCAGGAGTTGGAAACCAGCCTGAGCAAGAGCGAGACCCCGTCTCTACTATAAATAGAAAGAAATTAATTGGCCAACTAATATATATAGAAAAAATTAGCCAGGCATGGTGGTACATGCTTGTAGTCCCAGCTACTCAGAAGGCTGTGAGGCAGGAGGATTGCTTGAGCCCAGGAGTCTGAGGTTGCTGTGAGCTGGGCTGACGCCATGGCACTCACTCTAGCCTGGGCAACAAGGCAAGATTCTGTCTCTCAAAAAAAAAACAAAAAACATTAACAGTGAAAAGAAAGCAAATAAGAGAAACATTTACAATAATAGGAGAACTACCACACAATAACAATACAACTAAAACATTTACAACATTTATAACAAAAAAACAAAACATGGTAGGTAAAGAATCTCCAACAAACCAATTAAAAATGAGGCCGGGTGCGGAGGCTCACGTTTATAATCCTAGGACTCTGGGAGGCCGAGGCAGGCGAATTGCTCAAGGTCAGGAGTTCAAAACCAGCCTGAGCAAGAGCGAGACCCTGTCTCTACTATAAATAGAAAGAAATTAATTAGCCAACTAATATATATGGAAAAAATTAGCCAGGCATGGTGGCCCATGCCTGTAGTCCCAGCTACTTGGGAGGCTGAGGCAAGAGGATTGCTTGAGCCCAGGAGTCTGAGGTTGCTGTGAGCGAGGCTGACGCCAGGGCACTCACTCTAGCCTGGGCAACAAAGCGAGACTCTGTCTCAAAAAAAAAAAAAAAAAAAAAAGAAAGACATTAATTGGCCAACTAATATATATAGAAAAAATTAGCCGGGCATGGTGGCACATGCTTGTAAGTCGCAGCTACTTGGGAGGCTCAGGCAGGAGGATCGCTTGAGCCCAGGAGTTTGAGGTTGCTGTGAGCTGGGCTGACGCCACGGCACTCACTCTAGCCTGGGCAACAAAGTGAGACTCTGTCTCAAAAAAACAATAAATAAATAATAAAAAATAAAAAATTGGCAAAAGATACATATAGTTAATTTACATCGGGGAAAACCTGACTGGCCAGGAAGCATATGAGAAGAGGCACACCCTCAATAGTAATCAAAGAAACACACAGTGAAATAAGAGAAGTACCATTTTTTTTTTGCCCATTAAATTGGCAAAATGAAGACCAATAAAGTCCAGGGCTGGCAAGGATGGTGAGATGAATATCCTCACATGCAATTCATGGAGGTATAGAACAGGAGAGCAGGCTTACAGGACAACTTGGCAGCTTCTGGGAGTACTTAATATAGGTGTGCCCCTGCCCACCTAGCAGTTTCACTTCCTAGCAGCTACACCAGAGAAATCCTTCCACACACGCTTGAGCACACATATACAGGAATGCGCCTTCCAGCAAGGTTTCCACAGAAAAGAATTAGGAACAACCATTAATAACAAAGTGACTCCACTATGGTATATCCACACTATAGAATACTATGAGGTATTTAAAAAGAAAGCAGTCTATACACAAAGACAAGGAAAGACCTCTAAAAGTGTTAAGTTTAAGAAGGAAGCTGTAGTATAAGATGTTTGGTATGGGCCGGGCGCTGTGGCTCATGCCTGTAATCCTAGCTCTTGGGAGCCGAGCGGGCGGATTGCTCAAGGTCAGGAGTTCAAAACCAGCCTGAGCAAGAGCGAGACCCCGTCTCTACTATAAATAGAAAGAAATTAATTGGCCAACTGATATATATATATAAAAATTAGCCGGGCATGGTGGCGCATGCCTGTAGTCCCAGCTACTCGGGAGGCTGAGGCAGAAGGATCACTGGAGCCCAGGAGTTTGAGGTTGCTGTGAGCTAGGCTGACGCCACGGCACTCACTCTAGCCTGGACAACAAAGCGAGACTCTGTCTCAAAAAAAAAAAAAAAAAAAAAGATGTTTGGTATGAACCCTTTATGGTAGAAAATAGAATAAAAAGTAAAACTATAAATTTCTATGGGTACATATACATGTAAGTAAACAGACAGGAAAGGTCTGGAAAGATACACATCAAAGTGATAATAATGGCTAAATCTTGGGAGGCAGTAGGTAGGGGGGGTCAGGGAGACTTGAAACTTAAAATTTCTTACAAGAATATATTCACATATTTCTAGTTAAATTAAGAATAATGTTATTTTTAGTAGAAAGAGAAATGAGAGAAGAGAGTCTCAAGGGGGGTGCTGGATGGGATTATGTCACTAGGAGAGGACACTAAAAAGATCAGATGGGAATGACAGAAACAGAGAGAAAGTGTAACGCCACTAGGGGGCAGAGCTGAGGGCCAACCCAGAAGGAGGGAGGCTGAAGGGCAGGTTGGGGAAGAGGGTGCCAAAGAGGACAGAAGGAAGCAGTCTGAGTTGCAGACAGGAGCTCACCATCGGGTCAGGGCGTCCTGGATGGCGTTGGTGAGTGCGTGGCCCAGGTGCAGGGAGCCTGTCACGTTGGGGGGTGGGATGCACATCATGAAGATACCTCGGGGATTTGGTGCTGATACATTAGGACGCTGATGGTGGAGAAGGATGGCATGTGCTAAGGCCTCATGTCACCTCTCCCAGCCCCTCCCCAGGCAACGTTTCCTTCAGCCCTGCCCTTTCCCCCAACCCCACCCCCGGGCCAGGCGGCAGTGCGCACTTACCCCATACTCTGGCTTGAAGAAGCCCTGCTGCTCCCACCAAGGGTACCAGGCAGCCTCTACATACTGAGGGCTGTAGGAGTCGGGCATGGTGCCACTGACATCTGGGGGAGAGGAGGGCAGGGCTCAGCACCAAGGCTGGGAACAGTGAAGAAGACAGGCCAGCAAAGAAGGATCAGGGGCCCTGTGGCTCACATCACAAGACAGGCATTGGAGGGCCTGAGGGACTCTGCAAACCGTCACCAAGCAAAGTGGTGGGAGCAGGCCGGGCGCGGTGACTCACGCCTGTAATCCTAGCACTCTGGGAGGCGAAGGCGGGCGGATCGTTTGAGCTCAGGAGTTCGAAACCAACCTGAGCAAGAGCGAGACCCTGTCTCTATTATAAATAGAAAGAAATTAATTGGCCAACTAATATATATAGAAAAAATTAGCCAGGCATGCTGTGGCGCATGCCTGTAGTCCCAGCTACTCGGGAGGCTGAGGCAGCAGGATCGCTTGAGCCCAGGAGTTTGAGGTTGCTGTGAGCCAGGCTGATGCCTGGTCAACAAAGTGAGACTCTGTCTCAAAAAGAAAAAAAAAAAAAGCAGTGGGAGCAGCTGGGCATGGTGGCTCATGCCTGTAATCCTAGCACTCTGGGAGGCCGAGGTGGGCGGATTGCTCAAGGTCAGGAGTTCAAAACCAGCCTGAGCAAGAGCAAGACCCAGTCTCTACTATAAATAGAAAGAAACTAATTGGCCAACTAATATATATAGAAAAAATTAGCCGGGCATGGTGGCACATGCCTGTAGTCCCAGCTACTTGGGAGGCTGAGGCAACAGGATTGCTTGAGCCCCGGAGTTTGAGGTTGCTGAGAGCTAGGCTGACGCCATGGCACTCACTCTAGCCTGGGGCAACAAAGTGAGACCTCTTGTCTCAAAAAAAAAAAAAAAAAAAAGCGGTAGGAGCAAGAACAGAGCAAGAAGGGGTGAAAACTTGGAAGGAGCAGCTGAAGGGTAGGACCCTTCCCCCTCCTAGTACCTTTCTTTTCCCCAGGTGGGGTTGGGAGGTCATAGGTAATGACCCCAGGATCCCGTTTTTCCCTCTTCTCTGCTTTTGGTTTCTTCTGTTTGGGAGGGAGGGAGAAGATATAGGTCCAAGACATTAGCCACCCCACCACGGCATCCACCTTCCTTTCAGCTCTGCCCTAGCCTCTCACCTCCCCTGGAGGTGGCTGCTGCTGTTGGATCTTTTGTTTCTGTTGGTATTTCTCTAGCTTTTCCCGTTTCTTTGCCTCTTTCTTAAGCTGAGCAGCTGTCTTCGGGGCTGCAGGGACCTCAGAGCCTAAACAGAGGCACAGAAATTCAGACTCAGCCTGCTGGGGACCCTCTGTGAATGGTACTAGCAGGTTTTAGACGGGTTATTTCAGTTGCCCAGGGACTCACCCAGGCGGTCCTCCCACCTTACTCTCCCCTCCTCCAGGCCCCTGTCCCAGTGATTCTGACATTCTTATGAGAAAAAAGAAAGCGAGTTGTATTGGAGGCCCCACAGGAGCCCGCATCCTCCCACTCCTTACCCTTCCTAACCTGATTGTTGAGAGAGAGGCCTGGCCCCTGAGAATAGAACCACTTCTCCCAGTACGGCCCGGAACTCTGGCTGTCGGACACACGTGAGAAACCAGCGAGTTACATTACCCCAGATCTGGCGGGCAGGTGGATCGAGGACCTGGGATGGGAAAGAAATGATGACCCTTAGTCACCCTACAGAGATGTCTGAGAGGGGCACTCTTCTTCTTCCCCAGGCTCCAGTGACTCACGTATCGGAAAGGCAGCAGCAAGGCTGTGACAGCCGCCAGGTCAGCCAGAGTAGGGGCCTCCCCTGCCAGGTAGGTGTGCAGCCGAAGCCACTCCTCCAAGGGGATCAGGGCCCTGCCCAGGGCCCCCAGCACAGCCTGGCAGGAAGGGGAAGGATATGAGACAACACTTGGCCCACCTCAATCCCCACCCAACCCATTTGGCCTCCCTCCACTCCTACTCCCGCACATCACCACCTCTGAGGCCAGCTTCTTCTTCACTCAAATGGTCATAATAAAAATACTTCTGATTCACCCAATAAATCCCCACTGAACACTTATTATATGTCAGATGCAATATAGTAAGCACAAAGCAACACAGTAATGCCAGGTCCAGAGCATCGGCAAGTATCTATTCAGCACGTTTCTAAGGAATGAGACAACATGAACAGAGCCCTGACCTAGAAGAGTTTACATTCTAGCGGAGGAACAGTAAGTGAGCAAATACATAATACATTGCCCTATTTTCTGAAGTCTTATGAAGAAAAATGAAGTAGGCTGAGAGGAATAGGAAGTTCCAGGAGAGAGGGACTATTTTTGATAGGGTAATCAGAATATGAGGGAGGGAGCCAGGGTCTGTCACACATTCATTCATTCAAGAAATACTATGTCTCCACCATGTGCTCAACACTGTGCAAGGAGGCAGAGTTGTAAGTACACCAGGCACAGCTCGTACTCTTGAAGCACTTCCAGTTACAATCTAGTGCTGTTCTCTCTCTCACTGCCCTTCCTTATCTCATTCCTCCTTTATCTCCTCCCAGCAAGTGTCATCTCTTCCCTCACCCAGTCTTTTCCTACAATTCAAAGTAATCTCTATCCTAATCAATTTCAGACTCATCAAACTTTTACTCAGAGATAGACCATGTGCTCTGTGCAAATCTTTTGAGACAGAGTCTCGCTTTGTTGCCCAGGCTAGAGTGAGTGCCGTGGCATCAGCCTAGCTCACAGCAACCTCAAACTCCTGGGCTCAAGCGATCCTCCTGCCTCAGCCTCCCGAGTAGCTGGGACTACAGGCATGCGCCACCATGCCCGGCTAATTTTTTATATACATATCAGTTGGCCAATTAATTTCTTTCTATTTATAGTAGAGACGGGGTCTCGCTCTTGCTCAGGCTGGTTTTGAACTCCTGAACTTGAGTAATCCGCCCGCCTCGGCCTCCCAGAGAGCTAGGATTACAGGCGTGAGCCACCGCGCCCGGCCTCTGTGCAAATCTTTTAATCTCGTTAACTCAGTGAGGTAGGTATTAATTGCATCAACTTGTGTGTTTATAGACTAGGAAGACCAAGGCTCAGAGAATTTAAGAAATGTGCCAAAGGTTACCATACCAGGTGGCAATCTGGGATTTGAACACTCTTTTTCCATGTGTGACAAGCTACCTTCCTGTCTCATTATCCATTCCAATCCTTGCTTCTTTCCTCTCTCCGGCCAGCTCTCACCTGGGGGTCGTGTGTGGAACTTCGAAGTCCCAGAGCAGGCAGCGTGGCCCCACAGGCAGCTGGTATTAGCTCCGTGTCGGCGTAACTGACCCACTGTTGAACGAGGACAGCTGCCCGGCTACCCCCAGGCCCCCCCAGGCCTGCGGGCCACAGCAGCTGGGCCACAGCCGTGGCCCCCCACACCCAGAGCCCCCCCGGCCCTTGCTCCAGGGCTGGCAGACGGGGTGGGGGAAAGGGAGTCCTGCTGGTCGGGGGCGGCTGGAGACAGATGCGAGGGTGGGCTCCTCCCCATCCGGGACCCTGCCCAGCCTCGCCATAGCGAGCGGCTATGAGGGCTCGGAGGCTGGGGAAGGCGTCCGGGTGAGGGGAGACGTAGAGGATGGACATAGTTGAGGGGATCTGAACGAGGTGGAAAACCTAGGGAGAAAGAGACATGGGGAAGACTGAGGGAACCAGGGGATCCTATATTTGAGTAGAGAGGGGCCCTCTCGCCTAGGTTCTCCGCAGGCGCCCCAAGTCCCGAGGATTAAGGGTCTAAGCTATAGGAAATGAGAGCCCAGCTCTTAGAGTGGCAGTGACAGTGGGGAGCACCTGGGAAGAGGGGAACGGGGGACTGCCCACGATCGCGGGGCGTCGGAGAGTGTGGGAGACTCGCAGGAGCGGGTCGGCGTCCGGTAGGATGCGGGTTCGAGCCGCGTGTACGTACTGGCGGGAGAGGGTCAGACCCGGGCGGGAGTCCACCTCACAGCCAGGCGCCGGCTGCGGCTGGACCAGCCGGACGGCGGGGCGGAGGAGTCGGACGGGTGGCGACGATGGGCGGCTCTCCGGATGACTCTAGCTCCTAGAGACCGTGGCCCGGGAAGTCGCCTCCCACGTGTTCCCCCCTTTGTGACAGGGAACGCTTCCGGGCCTACGGGTCCTGGCGGGGGCGGCCGCGCCCCGCCTGCACGCACGCGCGCTGCGCAGCCCGACGTCGGCCCCGCGGCCACGCCGCCCGCCACCCGCCGCGCTCACGAAGGACAGCGCAGGGCGCGAGCGCAGGCCGGAGGACGCCTCGAGGACGCCCCCGGGGACCGCGCTCCCGTCAGGCGCCGCCGAGGGCACCTCGCCTGGGTCCTCGGGCCGGGCGGCGAGGGCGGCGCCCAGCGGGCCGCGGGGGAACTGGCCGGGAGGGTCGGGCCGGGACCAGGGCGGTCCCCAGCTGGTAGTCCGAAGCAGCTAAGGCGGGAGCTGCGTGACGGAGACCCAAGGAGAGGGCCATTTGCCACGGCCCTGGGCGTCCAGCTTCCTCCCTGAATCTCTTTTCTTCGTACACAAGAAGAGAGTCACACTACATGGTCTCTAAGGTCCCTTAAAGCTGAGAATTCCCATTTGTTCAGGAACTCCTATTTGCTGGAGTTAATGAAATTTAGTAATCCCCACATAACTTCTCAATACAAATTGCATCACTGGTTTTTTTTATCTTCTATAGATATTCAGAAAAAGCGTATTGATTTGGCTGGATTGACGACGAAACCCACCAGCATCAAATGCATTTTGGTGTCTCTTGACACTGTCACATTGATAGGACATAGACATGGAAGGGCAGGAAGCACTCCAGTTATAGGTACGGTATAAGCAAAAGGCTAGAGGGAGAACATGTATGTAGGGGCACGTCAGGAAACATGGTATAGTCCAACTGTATTATGCTTTATACCAAGGAGAGTGGTGGCAGATAATGTTGAGAAGTTGGGTTGGACTCTGGGCTAGGGGAATGGGAAGCAACAGGACTGGGATGAATTCAACATCCTTTTCTACCCCTCAGTTCCTTTCCCAAAACAAAAACTACAGAACCAGAACTCAAATTTGCATCATAAATTTTATTCCCGATTCGGGACAGATTCCTTCCATCCCCAAAATGAATCACATGTTGCCCTGGAAATAACTCAGAAACTCTCCCAGCATCTCCAGGGAAGAAGTGAGAATGGCAGATGCTGGGGACTGGGAAAGCTTTGCAGTTTCCCAGCCTACTTATCCTCCCCTTCTCAACAAATGATAGCTGTTCCCCACTATTACTCCTCTTATCCCTTTAAAAAAAAATCACTATTTAAAAGAAAAAAACCAAACACTTCAAGTACTGGGGGAGAGGGAAGCTGGGCTGGGACTGGAGGTTATGGGTCACCAATGGAAGAAGGGGAAAGAGGAGCCATCACTGTTTCTGCTGCAGGGCTTCCTTCCTTGCTGCATCCTGTAGCAGCTGTGTGTCCACCTCATCTGCCGGCAACTGCACATAGCGGACCACTGAGCCCCGGATGAAGCAATTCTTCACTGATAACTAGACAAAGACAAATATGAAAACACCCTTAAAAATGTCCTCTACCCACCTAGGCCAAATCTTTGGAGCTGTTTCCTTTTCCCCACGGTTCCCAACTCACCATGTGAGGGTATTTCTCAGGATCTGTGACACTGATGTCAGTTAGTTTTATGTTGAGATACTACGAGAGGAAAATGAACACCATCACTAACCCTAGTGACACAGTGCAAATACCTAACACTTAACCACTTCCATACGGCGCTGACCGGCCACGAAACCTTGCCCACAGCTGGCACTCAAAGTCCAAACGATAATTTGTGCTGTGCATTGACAATCCGTTTTGCTCTTGTGTGATGAGGAAAACTTTAAAGCACTGAAAGCTTGTTTTACTTTACAGGCAGCTTTACTTGTAATGTAAATCAGAATAGGTAACATATACATATATGCCTGTACCTTGCCCTTGACCAGCAATCTGTGGACACCCTCCATTCTGTGGATCAGGTGAGCTATTTAACAAGGGCTCAGAATTGGTTCTTGGGAGGGGAGAGAAGACTTAACCACTTCGGTACAAGCATCGACTATAGTCGACCACCACACAGATGAACCCAGCATCGACTTTAGGCAACAGCCATATGACATGACTTTTCTAATTTTTCATTTATCAAAATAAATTTGTGAACATTTAAAAATAACGTAATGAGGCCGGGCGCGGTGGCTCACGCCTGTAATCCTAGCACTCTGGGAGGCCAAGGTGGGCGGATTGCTCGAGGTCAGGAGTTCAAAACCAGCCTAAGCAAGAGCAAGACCCAGTCTCTAAATAGAAAGAAATTAATTGGCCAACTAATATATATAGAAAAAATTAACCAGGCATGGTGGCGCATGCCTGTAGTCCCAGCTACTCAGGAGGCTGGAGCAAGGGATCGCTTGAGGCCGGGAGGTTAGTTGCTGTGAGCTAGGCTGACGCCACGGGCACTCACTCTAGCCTGAGGCAACAAATAAGACTCTGTTTCAAAATAAAAATAAAAAAGAACGTAATGAAACAATATAGTGTACATATGTCAACCTATGTCCTGATTCACATTTAC